ACAAGATGCTGCAGCGTGTCATACCTCAAAAAAGGCTATAAAATGGATGGAAGAAAATAATGTACCACTTTTGAAATGGGTTTCTAGCAGTCCAGATCTGTCACCTATTGAAACTTTGTGGCACGAGATGAAAAAAGTTCTACGACAACATCCTGCTCGTACAATCACCGAACTGAGACAAAAACTTCAAGAAATATGGGATTGTTTTACACCAAATTTTTGCCAAATCTTGTTTAACACTATGCCCCAAAGAATTTCAGCCGTAATAAAAAATAAAGGTGATGTTACCCAATGGTAATCTTTCAATTGTTGCTTTGTTAACTTCGGGCATTTATTCGCACGTTGTTTATTTGTTCAGATGTTGTAGTAGTTATAGGTCTAAGTGATTTCAAATATGTATTTTTTACGACTAGAGTATATCTAAAATGTTTTTGAGAAAATAAATTGTTTTAGAAGTAAATAGTTTCGTCATGTTTGGTTTATGAAGGCATATTTTGGTACAAATCTTGAAGTGGGTCAACTGAAGTGGGAAGGGGCTCGTATATGTTCGCTAAACATTAGCCTGCTATCAAAGGTTACTCCAAGGTCCTTAAAAGAGTAGCATCTGTCTAGAACCTGACCGTTGACGTTGTAATAATCAAATATTAAATAATTAATCTTTCTTGTATAAGACAGAACTTCACATTTAGAATCATTTAAACTAAGACAGTTTCGCGGGCACCATGAAGAAATTAAGTCTAAATTATCCTGCAGCATGAGACAATCATCAATTGACTCGACCGATGCGTAAATCTTAACGTCGTCAGCAAAAAACAGATGCAAACAGTTGAGATCAAGAGACAAATCGTTAATAAAGATCAGGAACAATAATAGGCCTAGATTCGATCCTTGAGGCACCTCAGATGTGGCCGGATAACAACTCGACCTATAACCACCATATCCAACAACCAACCCTCTGTCCATCAAGTATGAACTCAGGAACGACAACAGTCCCTGAGATAGACGTACGGTCCTAAGCTTTTCCAGAAGTACATTGTGATCAACTTGATCAAATGCCTTCTGAATATCTGTATAGATTACATCAACTTACTGCTTTTATACTCTGCAAAATTAAATGCACTGACTTTTTTCGTAGTATTCATAATGAATTTATATTATTTTTTCAAAGGGTAAAAACGCAGTAATGCAGAATTTTCCTCTTTTTTTTTTTTTTTATATCGAAACAGCCGCGCAGGCAGAAGCCTGAATGCCGGAACACCGCGGCTGCTATGATGATCCCAAAGAAATTTTGTCAATACGATTTTTGAACTGCCTAAGGTTAGTAGAACTGGGAAAAGCTTCCTCCCGTAGATTGTTCCACAATCTAGCCACCCTCGGGACAAAGGAGCGGTCGTATCGGCCAGTTCTGGATGTACGAAGTTTGACACGGTTAGGATGGGACGCCGAAGTCAGGCGGGTCTGTCTGGCAGGCACATCGCGCGGCGGCATCATGGAAGAGACCTCTGAGGAGCAAAGTCCGTTGGTGTAGCGATAGAAAAGAGCCAGATCGCCGACGGCCCGCCGGTGCGAAAGAGTTCCGAGACTGTCTGTTAGAGAAGAGTCATCGATCAGTCGGACCGCCCTCCTCTGGACAGCATCGAGCATGGACAATGTAGTCGGGGCGGCAGCACCCCAAATGTGTGAGCAATACTCGAGGCTAGGCCTTATCTGGGCCTTGTATAGAGTGAGAAGGTCATGCGGAGAAAAGTACTTCTTAGCCCTAAACAAATAGCCTAGCTTTTTCCCAGCAGCTGCAGCTATTGAAGAGATGTGTTCGTGCCAGATCAGGTCCTCGGTGATCTGGACTCCGACCAGCCGAAATGAATGGCTCTTTGGTAGAACTCGACCGTCCATCGAAACTGTATGAGCGCTAGGACGCTTTTTGTTCGTCAAAGTACAGTACTGTGTTTTGGAAGCATTGAACTGTACAAGATTGTTGCGTCCCCAAGCAGTGATAGCCTCCAGGTCTCTTGTCAGAGAAGAAGTCGTCGCTAGTCTTCTTTTTTCCAGCTCAGCGGCAGAGATCGGCTTGTCACTCTGAATTCCTGCATGTAGAGTGCTGTCATCAGCGAAGCTGTGGATTGGGTTGATCGTGCAGGAAAGGAGGTCGTTGATACGTAAGAGAAACAGTGTTGGAGCCAAGACCGATCCCTGGGGAACACCCGCGTTGACGTTGTGGGATGAAGAGGAGAATCCGTCAATTACGACGGATATCTTGCGGCCAGAGATAAAGTCAGCCACCTATCTGCAAAGCTTTTCTGGGAGGCCGTAGGATGGGAGTTTGCTCAAGAGGGCAGCGTGCCACAGCTGATCGAACGCTTTCGTGATGTCAACAGCAACGACATGAGCCTCACCATGAGACTGGATGAGTTTACTCCACAGTTGCGTGACGTAAGCTAGGAGGTCCCCTGTGGATCGTTGGTGCCGGAAACCGTACTGCCTGTCGCTAATCAAGCTGTGACGTTCGAGGTAGTCCAGAAGCTCGCGATTTATGCACCTCTCCATCACTTTACTTATAACAGAAAGCAGAGCTATAGGCCTGTAGTTGTAAGGGTCGGTTTTAGATCCTTTTTTTGGGATGGGCTGTACATGAGCAAATTTCCAGTTTTCTGGGAAGGTGCCGGATTCATAAGATATCTGGAAGAGACGCGAAAGAATTGGAGCAAGCTCAGCTGCACATCTCTTCAGTACAATGGCAGGAATCAAGTCCGGACCAGAAGCTTTGTTGATCTCGAGCGACAAGAGCACTCGTCTTACGGTCTGATGCCTGAATGTTACCTCCCGCATAGTGTGGGGAACCCTTTGAATTGACGGCACTTGGGCGTTGGTAGGGACGTCCATGATGGAGTTGGCAGCAAAGACCTTGGCTAGCACTTCCGCCTTGGCCTTTGAGTCGAATACAATAGTTCCATCCCGACACGTAAGTGGTGGAAGGCTACTGTGTGAGAAGTTCTTTTCAATCTGCTTGGCCAGCGTCCAGAAAGACCGACTGCCATTGCGCTGCGACATTACCCTGTGCCTAACTTTTATATCATGCTGGGTTTTGGCATTGCGAACCGCTTCGTTATATTTGTTTCTGGACTAGACGTCGGCTTGTCTGTTCTCTACAGTGGGGTTTTGTAAGTAGGTTCTGTGGGCCTTGATCTTCTGCTGGCGAGCAGTGTCACACGATTTGTTGAACCAGCCGTTGGACCCTGGTTTAGGAACTTTCACTGTGTGAGGGATGTATTCCTCCATTCCGACGTGGATAATTTCGGTTATTGAAGAACAGACAGTCGACGCATCCGCGTCAGTGAAACAGACATCTCTCCAAGGAAAGCTAGAGGAGAAGTCTCTGAGCCCCTCCCAGTCGGCATGTCCGTAATGCCAAGTTTTGCGGCCTGTGCGAGTTTCTGCTGCCACAGCGGCTTCTGACCGAAACCTAACCTCCACAACACCGTGATCTGAGTTACCCAGGGGTGACAGGACAGCAGTGCTGTAAGGGGCAGGATGCGTGGTCAGAAAGAGATCCAGCAGGCTACTGGCGTGTGACGAGACGCGGGGGAAAAAAGTAGGGCTCGTCAGCAGCTGGGTCAGCCCTTGAGTAAGAGCGAACGCTTCGACTGCACGACCTGCTGCATCGGTCTTATTTGAGCCCAACCAAAGCTCATTATGGGCATTGAAATCACCAAGAAGAACTACCTCTGAAGCGGGGTGATTGATGTTCAGGAAGTCGATCTGGACGGCGAGGTATTCGAGTAGGACATCCCAGTTATGGATCGAGGGAGAGCGATAAAGGCAGCAAATAAATTTGGGTGATGTTTTGGAGTTGAGGCGAAGCCACAGAATGTCCTTCCGGTCTGATTCCAAAGAAAGATCCCTGGAGCAGGAAAGACTGCTGCGGACAAAAGCCACAACTCCCCCGTTCTTTCTCTCTTTCTCTTATTTTATTATAATTTATTCATATTGAAACATATACATGGTGTTTCAAATTCGACCCTCACCATTGGAATCTCAGAAACTGTAAGAGATACGAAGTCGCTTAATTGCACATTAACATTGCCATGATGGAGGACAAGAGAGGAAACGTCGTATTGAAATTCTAATTATGCATTTATCTAGAGGAGAAAAGGTGGCAATGTTAATGTGTAATTTATTTTTAAATTCGACTACAAATAAAGTCTGGAAAACATTAAAATGAATTTGAGAAAATTGGGTTTTTCCGTCTCTCTCCACATTTTGTTGATTACATAAATACGCAACTTTGTCCCCATTTAAGCGACTTCGTATTTCTTACAGTTTCCGAGATCCCAATGGTGAGGGTCGAATTTGAAACACCCTGTATAGCACAAAAGTAAATATTTTCAAGATCTAATATTTCAGTTTAATAATTTTATATTTACATCCAAAAACGACATTGAACAAAAATAATTATTTAAATAAATAAACTAAAAATATGTTAAGTTAAACAAAGAATATTTTTCGAAATTATTTCTTCTGAGAAAAAGTAATTATTTATCACGGTTAATACTTATTCACAAATAGTAGAATTATCACATAAAAAACGGAATAATTAAACATCATATTAAGCTATAAAGGGTAAAAAGCCGGTACTTGTATCATACAGAGAATAAAAGCAGCATAGTTTGAAAACTACTGATTTTTTACTTTGATAAATTGATTAACTGCTTTTATGCTTAGGAAATTAATGTAATTAATATGAAATATTTCCAAAATGGAAAACTAACTATTTTTGTTAAATAACGTGATCAATGATATATTTTGTAATTATAATCATAACCGAAATGTATTGGTGTCATAATTTAAAAGAGACAGTAAATGAACGTATGTACGGCAAAATTTTGTTAGCGATCTGTTTTACCTATCAGATATGATTTCTTATCTGGAAACATATCGTTAGATAAAGAATCAATAAATTACTGACTGGTACAGCAATGATGTACGTTGGGATGCATGTGGAACAATGAATTAGTTATACACCAGTAGTTTGCAGTTAACTTACGCGTGTATAGTTTGTCTTTTCTGAAATCCATATGGAGCGGTACCCATATGGATATGTTCGAATACCTTTAGATGAGGTAAACATTGTACATCGTACTTCTATTAATTGGGTATGTAATGGAGATAAAAATTATATAAACTTGAGGTAATATAAAGTAAAGATTGTATGTATTAAGTACACCAAAAATCATTGGGCGGTATGCCCGATTTTCGTGATTATGACGTTTTCGAAATCGTAAGAAAATATTCAAAGCAGATACTCGTGACGTTTTGCTGAATTTTGTAGGGGCGGGTCATAAAAAGTATTGAAAGTCAAAGTAATGTTCTTCTTAAAAAGTCGTCGCTATTTGGCGGAATTTACAAGTTTAGTTTTATATACTAAGTGACATATAAATCCGAACACCCAGTTTAAATGGTTTTATTTTAATAAAATTTTGTATAAGTACTTAATGAAACATAAAAAGTAAATGATAAAAATTTCAAAATGATTGCACTGCTTTAAAGCCCTTTGACCTTTAATAATGTGTGGATGCACCCTGATGTGCTACGCATTCTCCAACGCGCCTAGGCGTGCTTCTGATCAGGTGGTCAATGTCCTCCTGTGGTATCTCATTCCAGGCAACCACCAACTCCTCTCGAAGTGCTTCTAGAGTCACATCTTTATGTTGAAAGAAGTCTATTGTGACTCTTGCAACATGTGGTCGGGCATTATCTTGTTGGAAAGTTGGATCTGCCAAGGTGTCAAGATAGGGTAAAAGATGGGGTTCTAGAACTTCGTGGATATAACGCTGCGCGTTCATGTTACCTCTGATGAAGATTAAAGGTGACCTGGAACCATAAACTATAGCACCCCAAACCATAACTCCAACAGTGTGATGAACATGTCTTTCAACAAAAAACTGTGGATTCCTCCTTTCACCACGTCGCCTTCTAACCCTGGCACGACCATCGTGCATGCCTAAACAAAATCGAGACTCGTCACTAAAGACAATACTGTTCCATTCCTCATCCCAGAGTGACCGTTGTCTGCACCACTCAAGACGATTACGTCGGTGTTCTCGAGTTAAAGGGAGGACCCAGTGTGGCCGGTATGAAAACAAGCCAAAACTTCTCATTCGTCGGTAAACACTTCGCATGCCAATAGGTCTTCCGTGTTCTGCAAACCATTCATTTGCAATGGACCTGGTAGTGGAGAAACGGTCCCTTAAGGCCAATGATCTTAGGCGGCGATCTTCACGATCTGTTGTTCTACGGCGGCGTCCAGTGCCCCTTGCTCTTTGCGTACGGCCTTATCGAAGCCATGCCTAACAACACCTAACCACAGTGTCTACACTTCTTTGCACTCTAACTGAAATTGCCAGAAAAGAAAGTCCAGCTTCCCGAAGTCCCACTATACGGCCCCTATCAAACTCACTAAGTTGACGAAATCGTACAGGTCTCCGTACTCTAGGCATCGTAACCGATCGTACAGGATGTCAAGAACCAAAATCCGCCAACGTTGATTCTTTACTGCGGCTGAAATATTCATTTTTAGAGCGTTAGTGAATTAAAAAAAAGCAGTATACAAACCGGAATGTCCAACTGATAAGGCTGAAAATTTTTTCACTTGTTATTTACAGTAAGATAAATACATTCACCAACTTTTATTAAAATAAAACCATTTAAACTGGGTGTTCGGATTTATATGTCACTTAGTATAGTTTCAACTTGCAGAGTGAAAATCACAGCAGAAATATTTTTGTGTATTTTCAAGAATTTTTGCTGATAAAAGTAAACATGTGTCACTGGAAAAATCGCCGATATTATTCTTTTTTTAAAAAGCATAGTAACGTTTTTTTTTCATATATTTTGTGACTCATCACAAAATACCTATAGTCAACGCCAAACAAAGTGGCGTGCACGTCATCAAGGTGGGTGTGTTGAAAAATTTACATTGTTGCCAAACTTTTTGTAAAATAATAAAATTTATTATTTACATATCTAGGTTTATAAGCAATATTAACCTCAAATGAGAACAAAAATAATAGTATAATAAAATTATAGATCTGTACTTGCATAATCATTAAGTATGACAATTATTGATCAGATGACACTATGAAACTACCATATTTAATTGATAGCTTAAAGGTACTGAATAAAAATCCAAATGGGGTCCTCCAAATTTTATGCATGGTATTTATTTTACAGAATTCATACAGAAAAATGCATTCTAAAATTAGGTAAGCTACTGGTGTAAGCTTTTTCTGTACAATAAAGTTAGTCGGAGTTTCTTTCTTGAGCGCTGTCTGAATCTGAATCTTCATCACTCTCAAAGTTGATTATTAAAGGTTCGATGTCTGGTCGATCAAAAATTCGTTCTCTTTCATACCATTTAAAAATTTCTTTCTCAGTATGTCGAACACTATTTTTCCACATGTCTGGGGTAACCGTTTGTAGAGCCTCGTTCCACATATCCAAACAGTCTTTTTCACTGTTACCATCTCTACCAATATGTCTGTTATAGTAACCTTTTGCTATGCCCCAAATTAACTCAATAGGGTTAAATATACAATGGTAAGGAGGCAGACGAAGAACTTTGTGCCCATGTTGTTCCGCCAATTCATCAATCACGTATATTTTAGGTGGTTTGTTTCTAAAAAAGCAGTTATTTTAAGAATAGGAATAAACAAAAGAAATATAAACTGTCGACCAAAATATATATAATTAAGAAGCATTATGTACCGAGCAGCAATACTCAATAGCTCTGTTTTAAACATTGTGTTTAAAAATGGTATGTTTTGATTTGTCAACCAGTCTTGGATATTTTTTTTTGTCCATGCATTGTTGGGCACTTTGTTCAATATCATGCTGTGATAAGGGGCGTTATCCAGTATAATCATAGATGGACTCTCCAATTTTTCTAATAACTGATGTTGAAACCATTTCAAAAAATTGTCCTGGTTCATCTCTCCATGGTAATAGCTCAATTTTGTTTTCGAAGAAAATATCACTTCACTACCCTCAATAAACCCATTTTCATTTCCAGCATGTAATATAATGTATCTAAAATATATTAGTTTTAAATTTTATAGTGCAAATTGTGTAAAAGTACATACCTTTTACCATCTGTTTTAATAGCTTTCACGCTTTTTTGGTTTCCAATTTGCCAAGAGCGACCTATGGTCCCATTTTGAAATATCCAAGTTTCATCGAGGAAGACAAACTGAAACCATGTGTAATATGACATTATAATTTAGTTAACAAATTAATGCAAATTTCTGATAAGTTATTATAATAAGATCTTACTTTTGTGATACATATTATAGATCACTTCTCGAATGGCACTTGTATCCAATGTCGGTGTGTTGGTTACACGTTTAATATAACTCCGCTTTTTCTTGGGCGATTCTAAATTTGCATCACTTTTCACACCCTCGGAAATACGACTAACTGTCCTTAAACTAATTTTTAAAGCAGCAGCAACACGCTACAAAAAATGAAACAAAATTTCACTATTATTAATATACATTACATATAATTATTAGTAACCTACCTCTTGAACAGCATTTAAAGGCAACAAAGGCCCGTTGTTGTACCTTTCTTGCTCAAAGTAGTGCATTAACGAGGCCACGAGTTCCTTACACCGACTATTTAACTGTTTGGGCATCTTTATATACCAAAATTGCCTTTATCTACTCGTAAAATGAATAATTTTGTTTTGAAACAAACAGTTGTTGATTTACAGTATGCGGGGCCAAAGGATTTATAAAGATTTGAAATGCCACAAATTGATTCAGTGTCAAAATTAATACAAATGTCAGTTCCCAGTTTAAATAAGTTTCAAGGTGACAATGTGTCAACGCTGCGAAATCGGTTTAGTGCGTTTACATGTCGATAAGTGTCACCTTGAGAATTTCTCGTCAGATCACCATGTGATTCCTGACGTGCAATTCGGTTTTCGGTCTGAACATAGTACGGAGCTACAGGCGGTTAGGCTGGTGGAACGTGTAACCAGAGGATTCACCCTTAACGAAAGTACTGGCATCTTGCTTTTGGATGTCTCAAAAGCATTTGACAAGGTGTGGCACGCGGGCCTCTTGTATAAACTAATCCAAAAGGGCTTCCCTTTTTGGCTTCTAAAACTACTGAAATCCTTCCTTGAAGGTAGGAAATTTCGGATCAAAATTGACAATGTGCTGTCGGCAACACGGCTGATTACAGCCGGCGTCCCTCAGGGTTCGGTCCTTGGACCTATCCTTTACTCACTGTACATCCATGACGTCCCTAGTCCCAGCAACTGTGAAGTCTATCTCTATGCTGACGATACTGCATTGGTGGCTCAGTCGTGGTCTGGTGACCTAGTCCATGACAGGCTGCAAAGTGCGGTGGAAGAAGTATTAGATTGGGCGGATCGGTGGCTAATTAAAATAAACCATTCGAAAACGCAGGCAATCTACTGTACAAAAAGACGTCGCGGCGTTCCGTCTGAAGTTTCAATGAATGGACTTCGTATACCATGGGAATCCTCCGCTAAGTATCTCGGTGTCATTCTGGACAAAGGGATGACTTGGCGGAACCATATGGAAGCGCTAAAAACTAAATTCCAAATTACGTTTCGGCAGCTTTACCCATTATTATGTAAACGGTCAAAATTAAGTTTGATTAACAAGATTCGACTCTATAAGGTGGTCATAAGACCAGCAATGACATACGCATGTGCGGCTTGGTGTTTTATTGCTAAAACACACATGCGAAGTCTGCAGGTTCTGCAAAGCAGGACGTTGCGCACTATTGCTGATGCCCCATGGTATGTCTCTAACGAAACTCTACATAGAGACCTCGATGTCCCTTACCTAAAGGACTACATTAAGCAACACGCGCAGCGGCGCTATAGCCTAGCGGAATCGCACAGCAACCCTCTGTTGCGTGATTCAGTGGACTACACAGTCGAGCAAGTTCGCAAGCACAAAAGGCCGCGGCTCGCACTGTAATCAAAATTAACTCGTGAACTTAGAACAACCAAAATTGGAGCATTTTTACACAATCTTTAGAAAAAATCAAATATTTTTAGACCATATCAAAATCTGTGAAGCGATTTTAACAATGCCTAAACGCTGCATATCCTAAAAGATTCTCTTCTTCCCCTTTGCTCTCGTTCTTCCTTCTCTCCTTTCCTGCCCCTTTTTCCTTAAAATTGTCTGGTTTCTGGGTTACCAGACCTGACAGACTTACAAACTGACACTGTGACTCAAGAGCTAAGGTCCCACGGACCGCTCTGACAACCAACGATGACTTGACTTGACTTGACGATGTCGATAAGTGATTGGAGCGTTTGCAAAACATTTTATTTCGCATAATGCGTCTAAATTTATCAGAAAGCAACTTATGTGATATTTTAATAACAATGTTTATATGACTATTAACCATAATAAGAGAGTAATGACCATTTTACAATTTATATATCACATTAATATGAAACTGCAATAGAGCAATTGTTTGTGATAGAAACCTAGGCATTAGGTCGGGGAATTTTTATCGTGATGACGTGCACGCCACTTTGTTTGGCGTTGACTATAAATATGTATATCTCTCCATTCGAAAAAAATTGGCTAAACTATCAAATAGATTTTAAAATGTTTGCTGATGCCACCTGCAAGTTTAAAATAATCATACACAAAAATTGTCACATACATTGATGTTACAGCAAAGCGAGAAAAAAGTACAAATGATGCAGTGCTTCTGGGTTCGTAGCAGAAATTCATTTTTCAGACCTTAACTACTGTTAGAATATTAAAACCGAAGGTCGGTACTTTTCAGATGGAGAGTACCAATTTATTAATTGCGAATTACCAACTGTTTGGGATTAATAAATAACCTACAGATCAGGCATTTTCACAATATTTTTGGACTCTCCCCTTGCAGTTACGTCCGTCACGACGAGATAATAATAAATGGCATATTGGCAAAGGCAGACTCTCCCAGAAGAACGTGATCACATCTCCATCGCCCCCAGAGGATGTAGTGGGGAGGCGAAGCCTAGCAACTGGGCACTGGGATACCTTTGACCCTTATTCCACCTCTACATGTAACTGATTATTGCATAAACCAGGTCCAGCGATGCAATGTACCCGTTTGTTCTTTGCTTTGTTTTTCCCCCTTCCCCCAATCTTCAATTTTCAATCTGCGATACCTCCCTCGAGATAGATATCCCTCTGAACCTGGATCCTGAGCTCCTACCCCCCACCCCCTCCCCTTTTTTTCATATGGAGCCCCTGAAAATATTTTATAGATTCGCCCCAGGTATACTTTATCTGAAGTCACTTGAAATAGCATAAAAACCTTTGGTCGGCGCGTCCTTTGTAATTTCATGACGTATCATAGGCGTGCGGTCATTTATTTAGAACGATAATAATAATGTTTTTATATCACAATAAATGGATTTTACTTTCTTCTTATTTTTTTGATTTGGGATAAAAAATACTTATATTGGGAGTTTAGTTTATGTTGACTGAAAGTTAAGAAATGGAAAAATTACAGAATTCCAACGTTTGACATAGGCAAATATTTACATAGCAGGTAGGTATATAAAAAGGTATATAAAGAGTGACATTATAGGTATTTATATATCATCCTCGCCTTCGGAGCTGTCGCTAGAGTCATCTTGTAGAGGAATTATAACGGGATTTACAGGAGGCAAAACACAATATTCATTTTCTTTTTCAATAATATGCCTAGAACACTGCTTCCATAGGTCTGTGGCAGCAATATGAGATACTGCATCTCTTATTGTGGCCAATAGCGATTCACTTAATTGAGGGGTCTGATTATGTTTTCTTACTTTTTTTTTAAAGCAGCCCAGACCAACTCAATCGGGTTAAAAATGCAGTAATAGGGAGGTAGACGTAATACTTCATGGCCATTTTGCTGAAGCAGATTGTCAACAACATACTCTTTTTCAAATTTTTGTCTTTTAATAAGATCCAATAATATGGCTTTGGTTGATTTTTGTGGTATTTCCATTCCCTTATCCTTCATAAAATCAATAATGTCTTGTTTTTTTGTGCCGGTATTCGGAATTTTGTTTTTCTGTCGGGAATGGTATGGCGCATTGTCCATAATAATCACTGAATTTGGGGAAATGTTTGGTATTAACTGCTGCTCTATCCACTTTTCAAATAAGTCGGAGGTCATGTCCTCATGATAGTCGGCACATGATTCTTTGATATTTTTGGCAGATAAAAGCAAGGCATTAGGTGTAAATCCATTTTCACTGCCAGCATGGAGAATAATGATTCGTTTTCCACGGTTGCATGGTGCATTTAAAATGCACTTGTTGCTGTCGTCAACCCAGCCGTACTGCACAACATCATGGGTATCATACCACGTTTCATCCAGGTAAATCAGATTTCTTTTCTGCTCTCTATAGATTTTAACTTTGTGCAAAAATTCTTGGCGCAATTCAACGATTCGAAACGACTCCATAATCACCATTCTTTTATATATATATAATTTTTTGTATTGAAAACCACACAGTTTTACAATACAGTGCAGTGAGTCTAAGCATTTGTAATTATAAAAATCTTCAGGATAATATTTTAATTTATCCCGTATCATTTCCAACGTGGGCACCAAATTTTCTTTATAAAATCGGTATGTTATACGACGAATATCTTCCTGAAAACCCACGTCTATTCTTTTTAATTTTTGCCCTATGCGCGTTCTGTGGAAGGAATGGTTGACTACATCTCCCCTTTTTACAACCCGATAAATGGTAGACCGACTGATTTTTGTCAGGATACAAATTCTGTTTAAAATTTGATTTTGCGAGGAATCTGGATTTTCGTTTTTCAGACAATCATACATATTTAGGATTACTCTTTGGGTCTGTTCCTCTAAATCTTTATGAAAGAATTCTGCCTGCACAGGTTCATCAACCATCTCCTCGTGGCTTGGAGCATTTTCCCAAGGTCTCCAAAGAGCCATATTTAGGACACACAAGAACAATCAACACAACAATTAAATCAACAAGTAAACTGAGTATTCAAAAGTCAAAAACACACAAACTAATAAAATCTATGAAAAAACACGGACAGACTAAAGAAAACACGTTTATTCACCGCTACACGGCACTGGCTAAACTGTTTCAATTTTCAGTAGCCACCTGCACTTGTTCGGAGCTCTGAAATACACGCTTTCTCATTGGCTATGTCCACGCATAGGCGTGCTTTACTCCACGTGGACCGGTGAAACTGCCTTTGATCTTATACGGCTGCGAAATTTGGCGATTTTTGCAGCAACAGAGCGTGTTAAATATAGATATATAAAACGCACCCGGTATTTCACAGTGTTTCAAGTGACTTCAGATAAAGTATACATATACCCCAACATCCACGGCTCGAAACGTAACTTGGCTAGCCAAGCTATATGAGTCACAAGTATCAAATTAATTCTGCAATGTTCCAAAAAACTTTTTGTTCTGGTTAATTTATTTTATGAAAGCACCACTGGATTAACTGAATATTTTTCGTTTCAGCAAGAGACACGACCAATCCTACCCAGACCTCCTCCCGCAATCAATCATGGGAAGTACGACGAGAAACAACACCTGTTGGACACCAGCGCCACGGACAGCGCTGTTGTCCAGTTGGACAGCAACGCGGGTTCGCCATCGGACGATCCAGTACACAACAGGAACTTGGAACATCCCACTTCCAACTTCGATACGATGATTCATTTGCTGAAGGGCAACATCGGGACAGGAATACTGGCCATGCCTGACGCCTTTATGTATGTACATATACCTTATTATACACCAAAAGATTTCTACCAATTGTATTCTCGAACAAAATAGCTTTTCAAGAATCAAGAAGGCACAAACCCTTTCCAGAATAGTACTGAGAATAATTCCTACAATGTTGTACTTTTTTTTGACAAAATACAGACATAAAACTGGAGCGATCGATTTCTCAAAAAGATGACTTTTCTTAACAACGAAGCAGCCGCGCAGGCAGAAACCTAAAAACGCAAGGACACCGCGGCTGCTATGAGAATCCCAAAGAAATTTTGTAAATCCAATTTTTTATCTGCCCAGGGTTAATAGAACTGGGAAAAGCCACCTCTTGTAGATTCCCACAATCTTGACACACTCTGGATAAAGCAGCGGTCGTATCGGCCAGTTCTGGATGTACGAGTCCACCCTCCACCCGGACATTCCGACAGTGAAGTGAGCTTACGTCGGGAATTCTTAGTACTCAGGGGATTCATCATGATTGATTTCTTTGTTGGGAAAGATAACCGACTGCGTAGCTTAGGTGTGAAAACATTCTTAAGAAACCCTGGAAAAAGCTGGCGGGTGGTACCGCCTCGGTCGACTGACCCTTGTCTATCGCATTCTTTCTGCTTGTTAATGATGTTAAATAGACCTAAATTGGCGTGCGCACGTGAAAGAGTTATAAAAATTTAGGTTTATAACTGATTCCAAAATATTTTAAAAAATGGTGGCACTTCCGGTGGTACCAACTTGATTATTTCAACTAGAGCACTTGGTATGTTATTCAATTTTTGGATTCCATGCGAGATTTTAAATACATTTCCTGCATACCATCATATATACCTAAGTTTTTGTCCAATTTTAACAATTCTATCTCATATCCAGTATCCATTTTGGAAAATGGAGTTTTGCGTGTTAAATCTCAGACAAAAGCTGTAAAGTTCAAAGGCAAACTGATCATACGTTTGGCTTTCTGCTGTTACTTGATGATAAAAGCTGCGTTCCCTTGCAAAACGTATTTTGTTTGTTTGTTGAAGACTCATTTAGCATTAATGCTACTATGTCAATTTTGCATAATAATTTGCTTCCACATTTTTCTTCAATCCATTTTCTGTAATTCTTATCTATTAAAATTAAATTTTAGAAATCCTTAAACTATTTTTAGGAACGCAGGATGGGTGATAGGTCTCTTCGGCACAATGTGCATGGGAGTCATTTGCACACATTGTATGCACATGCTGGTAGGAAGTTCACACGAACTCTGCAGGAGAACCGGATCATCATCGTTGAGTTTTCCAGAAGTCGCTGAAAATGCTCTTAAAACAGGTCCGAAACCTCTGCAAAGATATGCTCCCTATGCCAGGTATGCAATATTTGTATTTAGTTGTTGTAAGTTGCTCTTTGATTACCATGCCTACCACTGGCGGTCCCCAGGGGAGGGGGGGTAAAGGGGGTAATTACCCCCCAGACGACTCTAGCGGTCTTTGAAAAGGTATAAAGTAAACGTCTTATAAAAGAATCTGTAACTTTAAGAAAAGATATCGGCAACACTGCCAACCCGCTCAGTGCGCATGCGACTAGTGACTACTCTCCCACCAACAGCAACGGTGTGCGCTTCTTCCTGCTGGAACAGGTATAGTCTAGTCTTTTATGGTCTAGTTTAGTGTCTAAATTCTGTACCAGTCCAGAGTCCGCAACAAAATTTGGCTGAGAAGTGAACAAGCGGATTTTTTATTTTCCATAAGCCAGAAAATTAATTTTTGTTTGTTTTTAATTCTTACACTATAAAAGAATCGTGTCTAAAAAAATGGAATTTTAACATAATTTCAATTGCGAAGTGTTTTGTCTATACTCCAGCTATCATAATCATCTATGTCTATTTTATCTCGGAAGTCCCTGTATATAAGCACTTAGTGCATTTCGTTCGTCCGAGATGCCAAATTATATATTTAGTTTTTGAAAATTGCGTGAACTCAAGAAATCTTGTTTTCCAAACAGAAAAGGTTCTTTGTTATGAGATACGTGAATGCGTGGAAACCAATAATGCCGTTTATTTGACAATATTTGTGTAACTTTTAGTGCTGGTTGGCGGCTGCTGTTGTCAGGATGAGTAAAAGGAAACAGAATACCATCGGTTGGTTCCTTTCTAAACAAAACAAACTGCTGATCCACCCGCACAAGAATTACCGGAAAAAACTGATGATAATCCTACAATTCAACTTGAACCTTCCACTTCAAAATTTCTTGATGTTGCACCGTATGCTGACCCAAGTGTTGAACAATCGGGTGCGAAACCTAAACGATCCAGTTTTGTTGATGTTGCGCCATATGTAAATGTCAGCGGCAACTTCCCATGAAAAATATACCTTATTGAGGTGTGCAATGATCCCTAATGACTCAAATATTCTTATTCCACACACTTGAAAAATAATAAAGAAGTGAAATGTTACTTATCAAAAAAAACACTTTGAGAAATTTCCTTGGCTGTCATATTCAGAGGAAGTACAAGGGCTTTTCTGTAAATTTTGCGTGATTTTTGCAAAATTAGGAGTACATAAATGAACTAAATTGGAAAAACTTGTTACCGTACCACTAAAGAAATTTTCGAAATTGTACGGCAAAACCGGTGATTGTGAGACACATCAGAAGTCAATAAATCATGCAGAAGCAATGCTACAAACTTTTGAAAGATTTACGAAAATCCAGAGAATGGTATAAAAGATATAATAGGTTCAGATTGAATTAAGCAGGTATCAGAAAATCGGCAAAGATTGATTGCTATAATAGAATCTATAATTTTTTAGGACGCCAAAATATACCACTTAGAGGGCATAGAGATAGGGGACGACATCACGAATGACGCGGATGTCCTTAATAATGAAGGGAATTTTAGAGAACTAATACTGTTTAGAGTCGAGAGCGGCGACAATTTATGAAAAAAAACTTAGAGAACTCAAAAGCGCATGCTACCTACATAAGCAGCCGCATACAAAAATTATAGAATGTTGTGGAGAAGAAATGTTGGATATAGTTTTAAGTCGCGTCAGGCAAAGTTAGTATTACAGTATTATATTTACATAAACATATTTACGAGGACTTCATGGGATTTGTGGATTGCTACTCAAATTTTGTTGAACATTCAATGGAGCCCAAACTCACAGGTCAAATTCTTGCTCAAACAGTCAAGCATTACATTAAAACCAATAACTTTGACTCAAACTGTGTGGGAATTGGTACTGATACGTGGAACCTAATGTTAGGTGAACAAAAGGGCGCTGTAATGAAACTGCAAAAATGTTTGCTAAATGCTCTAAAAAGGCCATGCGCAAATCATGCCTTGAATCTTTCGATTTCAAAAAGCAGCAGTGTCCAAGCAGTAAGAAATACTGTAGGTATAATGAAGGAAGTAATTGCGTTCTTCAAAGCATCCGCTAAAAGAAATACAGTATTAAAAAGAAAACTAGACGGATATCAAATTCATAGTTTGTGCGAAACACGATGGACTAAGAGACATGATTGAAGACTGCCATTACTTCCACCCAATTTATCGAATCACTCTAAAGTGTTTGTGTGATATATTAGCTTTAACAGTCAGCCTAAGTAAGATTTTACAATCAAAAACAAATGACAAACAATACGCTGTTAAACTCATAGGAAATATTATTTCAGTTGTACAAGAAAGACGATCTCACTAAGTGTCTGCCATTACTGCCGAGTCTGATGTATCGTGCGTATCTTGCAGATCCGACGTTGCCAGATGTACTACCGGTAGGGCCGGGAATGTCTATGGACTTATTGTTTGAAGTTGAAACCTTCAATAATCCATTTCACTTTTGTAAAATGTTCTAGGGCAATATCTTGGGCAAGAACAGTAGTTTACGTTTCTGGGATAAACAATTAGCTTTTTACATAAACTATTAAACCGATCTGGCTGAAATTCAGCACACTGTTTAACACCAATGATGCCCTCATTCTCACAAATTTTTAGGTATTTATAATTATTGTTATTGCAATAGTTAGAAACATTTATTCAATATTGCTACAAAGGCTCGTATTTAGCTTAATTGTTTATCGATTTTAATTCTCAAAAAATAAAATTGTAGGTCTTTTTATGCACTAAAACCTACAGTTTTCCAATTATTTATATAATAATTATTTTGAGCTTTTCCCATTGTTTATGAAAAACAATGCATATCTGACTATATCTTTTTATGTATTTGTCATTACAAACCCCCTTCCATTAAAAACTTTCAAATAAAGGGAGACGTTTATTATTATTATTATATTTGCAAACTTTTTTTTACACGAAGTACCTATTTTTTTCTATGTAGCGAGTCGAGCTTGTGAGCGGGATGATATTATATCATATGTATTAGACCATCTTCTATGTTATACCTTTTATTCCAGAACTATAATAAACGTATTCCTGTGCATCACGCAATTGGGCTTCTGCTGCGTGTACTTCGTATTCGTGGCAGCCAACGTTCACGACATCGTTAAGCACTACTACATGGACATAGCCGTGTACTGGTACCTCCTTGCTGCTTTATTTCCCATGATACTCCTGAACTGGGTGAAGAATCTCAAATATCTGACGCCGGCGTCCTTGTTTGCGACCGTGGTTACGATAGCTGGTTTGCTAGTTACGTTCTACTACATGTTCCAGGACCTGCCGAATATGTCCACTATCAAACCATTTGCGAATTGGTCACGTTTGCCATTGTACTTTGGGACGGCGATATATGCTTTCGAAGGTATTGGTGTGGTAAGTTTAATTTTAATTTAAAAAAAAAACTCAAAAAGGTGAATCCTAGCGTTTGAACCAGATCTCAACAGTTTTCCATGGTGGTATATTATATCGATAGATGACATTGAAGATAAAATTAACTTTTTAACAGATAGTATTTTATGTTTATTTAATGTTCACTGTCCAAAAAAGGTAGTGCGTGTAAACAAAGCTCCATCTCCTTGGTTGGATGATAATATTAAACTTGTATTCAAGCAGAGAGCTGAAGCTTTGTCAAACTTCAAACGTGATCGTACAGCCGCCTCTTGGCAACAGTATACATATTTCAGAAATCGTGCATTAACGCTCGTGCGAAGAGGAAAAAGAGATTATTTACAAGCTGTTCAAAAACAGGATATAAAAAACTTTTATAAGACCCTAAAGACTTTCAAAGTACAATCTCAGAAAGATTCTACAATTCCCGTGAGCTTGTCAGATCCGTATAGAATAAATCAGGCATTCATTTCAATTTTCGAGAATAGTGATTTGGCTTGTGCTGATAAAATTGCATATTACCGAGCTAATAAAAATAACTCAAAATTGAAATTTCAATTTAATAAAGTGACTATGGACACCGTTGTTAAAATTATACATAAAATAAAATCAAATTCTAGTGGCACAGATGGAATAACTTTGCATATGATACTACTATGTATACCTGAAATTGATGTGTACTTAACGCATATTATAAACTGCTGTTTAGAGGGGGGATATTTCCTCAATCAGTGGAAACGCGCTATAGTTATTCCACTACCTAAGTGTTCTGATCCTACTAACTATGGTCAACTCAGACCGATCAGTCTACTGCCATTTTTTTCTAAAGTATTGGAACGCGTTGTTTACGAGCAGCTCTGCGCCTACTTATATTCTAACAAAATTATCCCATCTAAACAATCTGTATTTCGACAAGGTTATAATACAGCTTCGGCACTCTGTGATTTATCATACAATATAACAATGGCACTTGATAACCAAAAAGCAGTAGCTCTCATACTTCTTGAGTTTACTAAAGCATTTGACACCATTAATCACTCACTTCTTGTATCTAAATGCAGTTATTATGGATTTTCTGAAAAACCTCTTTCGTTTATTCAAACCTACCTTGAAAATCGGTATCAAAAAGTTCGTCTAACTCAACAGTACTCTACTGAACAAAAAATTTGTTCTGGTGTACCACAGGGATCAGTCTTAGGACCGCTATTATTTTCATTATATATCTCAGATTTAGAAACAGAGGTAAAATCATGCAGCATACAATTTTTTGCAGATGATACTCAAATTTTCTATTCATTTATTAGTAATGACTTGGAAAAGGCAAATAATAAAATTAATCAAGATCTTGCCCAAATTGAAAAGTTCAGTAGTAGTCATAATCTTCGTTTGAACCCTTTGAAGACAAATATGTTGGTATAAGCAAATAGAACAAAAAAGAATACCTTAAAAAAGGACATAGACATACATTTAAAAGGTAATAAATTAATTCCTGTGGATCATTCGAAAAACCTAGGTATTATAATGGATGATGACTTAAAAGTTGTTGCACACGTGCTATATTACATAAATCTGCGAGAAAGCAATTGTGTGAATATTTCGTGTTTTCAAAGATATCGTATTGCTTAGTGGTTTACTATCCCTATTTAGATATTATAACAAGAAATCGTATTCAAAGTATTATGAATACATGTTGCAGACTTGTAAATGATCTCAGAAAATATGATCATATATCGAATGCCATTAATGAACTCAAATGGATGAAAATTGATAAAATGTATAGATACCAGCAGGTTCTTTATTCAAAAACACCGTCATATTTAGTAAACAAATTCATACGTAGAGGGAATATGCATCGTATTAATATTAGATATAGAGAGACTTTTTCAATTCCACGCCACAGCACGTCTCTATTTCAAAATACATACGTAGTCATGCCATAAGTTCTGTCCCTCGTTTTCAAACAAGTGTAGACCTGTTAATACTTGTCCGATTGTTTACATTGTGGTGTCAGTTGATTAAGCGCTTTTCGGGTAATTACATATACCTCAGTTTGTATTGATCTCTCGAAGCATAACGATGGAGTGGGGCAAGGCAGAGAACCGTATTGCAGTGATAGCTTTACATAAGTGTAATCACAGTGCTAGTCAGATTTTTGAACTCTTACGCGGCCTTCAAATATCGCGTAAATTTGTGTCTAGGACCATTCAGCGGTACAATGAGACGTCCTCTGTTGATGACAGGCCAAGAAGCGGAAGACCTCGTCAAGTAAGGACTCCAGCAGCCATCAAAGCCGTAAAAGCCAGGATTCAAAGGAATCCACTCCGGAAGCAGAAGATCCTATCCAGGGAAATGAAGATTCCTATCCGGACGATGTCGCGCATCATTAAACAAGACCTAGGGCTAGGGGCTTACCGGAGACGTACGGGCCAGCGACTTACGGCCACCTTGCGACACATCAGGGCGACAAGATCCAAGAAGCTCTTGGAGAGGTACGCAGATGGGGGATTCCGAAAGATTTTGTTCACGGATGAGAAAATCTTCACCATAGAAGAAAAATTCAACCGACAAAATGACAAAGTGTATGCAAGGAGTTCACAGGAAACTTCGGAGATCATTCCGAGAGTTGAGAGAGGCCACCACCCTGCGTCAGTCATGGTTTGGTGGGGGGTGTCCTACGAAGGGGTCACTCAGCTCCATTTCTGTAAACAGGGCGTGAAAACAAAAGCGGCAAACTATCAGAGCGACATACTGGATGCTATCGTCAAGCCTTTAAGTGGTACATTGTTTGCCAACCAACACTGGGTCTACCAGCAGGATTCCGCCCCCGCTCACAAGGCTAAGAGTACGCAGCGCTGGCTGGAAAGCAATGTGCCAGAGTTCATTGCTGCGGAAGATTGGCCCTCAGGGAGTCCGGACCTCAATCCTTTAGACTACAAGTTGTGGGACCTGCTAGAGCAGTTGGCCTGCTCCAAAGCCCACCGTAATATCGAGTCCCTGAAAGCGGATTTGATCCGATCAGCGGCAGCTATTCCTTTGGAAGCTGTGCGTGCAGTGATAGATGAGTGGCCCGCGAGATTGAAGCAGTGTGTGAAGGCCAAGGGGGGACATTTTGAATAAAACTGTTTGATTATGAATTCTAAAAATGTTGTCGAATAAATAATATCTTTCATATAAATATATCTTATCTTGTTTCATTTTTATCATGCGATTATCATGGGACAGAACTTATGGCACGACTACGTACATTTACAATGCGATCAAATCATATAATTCTTTAGACCGCAGTTTAAAAGAAACCAATCCAAATTCAAGAAAAAAGTGAAAGAAGTTCTTCTTGATCAGCAGCGAAATCGGTTGTAACCCATAAGTGTCCTCATATTTTCCTTATGTATTTACTTGGATTATACTTTATTCTGTCGTTATTGTATACAGGTGCCTATTAATAATTTTTTTTTACATCCCGTATTGTTAAGGGGGTTAGATGGTAGAATAGATATATAATCTAAATCTCGCCTCCTGTAAGAATATTACAAATAAAAGACGTTAATTATTCTTATTATTATTATTATTATTAGTTGTTTTCAACCTCGATCATACGGGGTGGGACTTTTCTCCCTTCCTCCTTCTCCTCCGTGACAAGGTATGATGTTTTGTGGTACTATGTGAGTCAGTATCCAAATCAAGCTCCGCGTGGTGTATAAGTTAACCTAGTTTGTAAACAAGCCGCATCTGAAATACCGAAAATGGCACATTCCTAGAATAATAACGTACGAGGACGGTCCGATAAGTACTTTGCCTCACCGTCCGCAAGAGAAATTTACTATCGTGAAGTACATTATCGTAGACGGCTACTGTCAGAAGTCCAGCTAAATCGGACATGTAGTTTTGTTTTGACCGCGTGTCGAAACGGGCGTGCTTGCGGATTTTAGAAAAATGGAAAAAGAGCAATATCTTTCCTGCCAACTAGCGCAAGGAGTTTATGCGTCGTTTGATGACCATCGACGAAACATGGATGGGCTGGTACACACCAGACACCAAGGAACAGTCGAAACAGTGGACTCCACCCAGCGAACGTGCTTCGAGGAAGGAGAAGACTATCCTATCGGCCGGAAAGGTGATGGCCACCGTTTTCTGGGATTCACAAGGACTAGCCACCGGTGACAGGGCTCTGCTAAGCCGAATTAATGGGCCGATTCGATGCCGGATTGCAGAAAAAACGACCCTATTTGGCGAATAAAAAGGAGCTCTTCCACCATGACAACTCACCGACTTACACCTCCGCCTTCGCCATAGCCAAATTGGTCGAATTAGGCTATGAACTGCTGTACGAATTGGTAGAAAATAGTACAGCAAACTTAAGGGCTAACGATCAAAACTGACACATTGTAACAAAACCTGAACCCTTTCGATTATACCAAACACTGGGATAGTCGCATCCTAACCTCAAAAATCTTCTGCTTCCTATTTTCATCTCATTTTCTTTCCTTGAGATTTTCCGGGGTCCTAAATTGTTGTATCTGGCAAGAACCAATACAATTACGGTCCCACATCCCGCCACCACAAGCAATAATGTTTTTATAGGAAAATTCGTTTAGACAAATTTGGTAAAAATAACAAAATTACGATATTTTTCTTTCAGATATTGCCTTTGGAAAACAACATGAAGAGTCCTCAGGATTTTGGTGGGTGGAACGGTGTTCTAAATTCGGGCATGATCATCGTAGCTTCACTCTACACTTCTGTAGGTTTTTTTGGGTATCTGAAGTATGGTGAGAGAGCCGTTGAAGGAAGCATTACTCTTTTATTGCCGACAGATGAAGTGTAAGTATATTCTTGTCAGTCGTTTAGTCTGAGCATACGAGTAATTTAGAATTCTAGGAAGCTTCGTCCCGAAGGTACAGAGCGAACAACATTTAAAAACGTTTATCAGTAAAAAATTCGCTTAAGGTTTCCTAATACATATACGAAAACTGCCCAAAATGATTCCAGTCAGGTAGAATCTTCTCGTCATAGACTGCGGAACTTCTTCAAGTACACTAGAGTAGTTTTTTAATTGACGTAATTATCCGATTTTTCGCTAGCTTTGTGTGAATTGTGTTGTATGATCCAATAGGGAATTTAAACTTGCAGATCGAGCAGGCCATAAGTAAGATCCCCGTCGGTCTTTCCATCTGTATCCGTATATTGCTCTTAATAACCAACAGAATTTGACGAGGAAATTGTAGTCTTGCATTCTAGCTGGAGGTACCTATAGTTATACTGCTGAGCAAACAAAATAGAACATCCAGCAAAAATGATTTGATTTGAATGAAATCAACGTAATTTAAGAATGGTGCAACAAATCCCACGTTGAGTTTTTGATACATATTTTTAAAACATCCTGTGCAATAAATACTGAGATTTTTTTGTTTTTAGAATGTCTATCTGGGGAATAGTACGCTTATTTTATTATTAAGTCCTTTATGCCAAATATGTCGAATGCCTGGGTGGCATCCAGAAATAGTGCATTACATAATTGTTGCATCTTCTGAATATTCAGAAGTGTAATCTGTTAGTTACGAGAGTCAAACGGAGGCTCCGGTATTAATATTTCATTTTTAATTTCAGGTTGGCTCAGTCCGTACGAGTCTTGATGGCGATCGCCATTTTTCTCTCCTACCCCCTGCAGTTTTACGTCCCCTTCAGCATCCTGTGGCCATCAATAGAAAAGCACTTCTACACAGACAAGTCCAAAGAAATTGCCGAATACGTCAGTCGAACTGCGTTAGTTCTATTCACGTTCATCTTTGCTGTGGCCATTCCTAATCTTGGAGCTGTTATCTCACTAGTGGGAGCATTCAGTAGTTCAGCGTTGGCTCTGATCTTCCCCCCACTTATCGAGATCATCACTTTCTGGCCAGATAAGTTGGGACAGAGTAATTGGAAGCTATGGAAGGACATTTGTATTATCATATTCGGTTTTCTTGGGTTTTTACTAGGATCGTACGTAAGTCTAATGGAGATTATCAATCCAGATAAGAAACAGTGAATATGACTTTGTGATAGTCATTCTTTATAATCCAGTGAGTACTGAGATGTTGATATGAACATTGAAATTATAAGTTTAGTTATTGTGTATGATCTACATGTTGATATGTATTTATATAGAATATCAGTTCAGTAATAAGATATACAGCGTGTTACTTAATAATGGTAGGTCGTAATTACAAGGGCGCATTCCTAAACCAAAAGTGGAAAGTATAAAGATGCGTCCTAAAAAGACTCATTTACAAGATACAGTTTCAAAAAAAAGGTCTTTCATTAAAGATCCTTGTGTCGATTATGAATTCCAATTGCGATTCACATCAATTATGAGTAAAAAATAAAAACAACTTCATTACGTGTTAGAAATTACTGAAATAAGATCACACCAACTTGCGACGAAATGTTGTTAAGGTTTCAGGTATCATGGACATATTTTTGACTTTCCGCGACAGTTTCCTATCATGTTTTCTCTGTCAAAAGTATTATGTTTTTAATCTCTGACACCCTGTATCTTGGAAACAAGTCTTTTTATGACAACATGTTTATACGAACGTTTTTATTTGAATTTGGTTCAGGAATACGCCTTTGTAATTATGGCCTACCATTACCTAACACCATGTATAAGCTATAACTCTTGAAACCAGTAGGCAGGGCAGAACAGGACAGGTTGTACCACTACAGATAGTACTGCAGTGAAATGGGTAATTCTCTAGCTTAGCTACCCCAGCCATTTTTGATGAAAAAATGATTTCAGAGCCTAGTTTGTGGATGTAGATTAAAGAATTGGGACTGAAAATGAGCGCAAACATGAAAGTTCTGAAATATTTTCTATATAATAGTTCGATCATATTAGCAAATTTCCCAGAAATAATTGTAATTGGGATTCAGTCGAAAATGTTGACAGGAACGAAAAAATTATGGGACCTACAAAATGAGATCACACGTAAAAAGATCCGACTAATAGCAAAAATGTTGTGGACGAAAAACGAGGCAAAATGTAGGTTTTGGCACTTGGTAATGGGACGATAATTTCACGTTCTTCAACTCTTCAAATTCGTAGGATTCATACTTCTAAATAACAACAACAAAATTGGATTATATTGGTCAAGTAGTTTTTTGAGAATCTCTAATTGTTTATCCCAAAACAGCTGTTTTTAATTTAATAGCAAAATATAATAATTCCAAAAGATAAATGTTATGTTTATGCGGAAAAATAAAGGTTACGTTTTTGTTTTTTCCTCCTAAACAAATTCAAACATTTCGTATTTGTGAGTAATTGAACAAATGCGCTACGATATTCGAAAAACATACGTTACTACAGTATATTCAGATAAGAGATAGACCGGACATAAACAAGACCACGTGATCATCGAACGCTGTAACATTCGGCAGGGACGTATTAAGAGTCACGCAGTACATATTTTAGATAGTAGATGCTGCTTTGCGTAACTTTGTAGTAAATTAGCACAATTCGATGTGTATACGATTGGTGATGGATATAGGATCATGTGGGGGTGGGGTAAGAAATATATAATGATGTAAATATACATAAGGGTTTCAAAATTTTCGCTTCGATTTCCAGCTTCGGATGCCGCCTGATGTTTGGTGAAATACAGTCGAATATAATCTCAAAATGGCGTTTAAATTAGCCTAAATTAAAAATAATCGTATATCTCTTAAAATTGCTTTTAGAATATTGATTAGTATATTTTTTGTTTTCTAGGTAAATATGTAACCAGATTAAAACGTTCAAAACGTAAAAATGTGCATGGTTGAACATTGTCAGAAAGTAGATTCTTGAATAGGTTTTGCCACAATGGGTTCAAAAATGTCAATAATTAATTAAAAAATACGGTAGCTTTATAATTACTTATAACTTACCGAATTTGATGAACGACATCTTTTATTGGAAAGATGAGCTTGATGAGCTTTCATCATCGCTACTGCCTGAAACACCAACGTCAATAATGAATGGCTCGACTTGTTCCTCTAAAATATTGTCCAGTTCCCACATTCTCTTTTCAACTTTGTCTTTCACGTGCTTAATACAGTTTTCCCATTTTTGCGCTGTTATTAATTCTAGTGCTTCTTTGAAAAGTCCTTTGAGGTCACAAAATTTAAAAGTTGTATTGTGCTTAGCTATATAATTTTTAACCTCTGCCCATATGAGCTCAATGGGATTGAGCTCGCAATGGTATGGAGGTAAACGGAGCACAGTTTTATTTTGACTTGCTGCCATTTCGTCAATGGCGTATTTTTGATATTCCGCCTTGTGATCCTTGACAATTCTTAATAATTGTACTTTCAGCATTGCTTCTTCAAAGTTGATATTTTTCGAGCGGAGCCAATTTTGAACATCAACTTTCCTTGAAGCCGTTGTTGGGACCTTCTCCATTCTTCGAGAATGATAAGGCGCATTATCCAACACAATTACTGCGTTTTCCTCTAAGTTCGGTAAAATTTTTGAAAACCACTGTTCAAACGATTCGCCATTCATTTCCTCGTGGTAATCTCCAGTTTTCTTAGACTCAAAGCACCACAGACCGTCAACAACAAATCCATCCTCACTGCCAATATGGCAAATAATGAGCCTTTTCCCTTTACCTGGAAATCGAAGTACTAACTGGTGTAGATTTATTTCAATAAGCGAACCTTTTTCAAATGTTTTCATCACATTCAGCAAAAAACATTGAGACATGAGTATCAGATTGCTATAATTGGGATTATTTAGTCATATTGAAAGAAAAAATATTGAACGTCGTATGATTACTCAGCGCTTCACAATTTAATTTAAAGTTATAAACCTTTAAAAAATGAATGATCAGGAACCTGAAATACGCGCAAATATTAATATTAACAAATTATAACTTTATAAAGCTTAAAGTATGAATTAAAATGATTAGAAATATTAGGAACGGTACACAATATAAAACTTAGTAACTTTTTTTAAGTTTATAAGATTCGACATATTTTAAGATTATATTAAAAAATTATTGAAATATCGAAAACACATAAAAACATGGCTTAAAAAAGTTCTAACAAATGAAAATGACAATAAAACATCCACGCATTTTATCGAAAGTTATAAAAGTTTTGTTACTTGTAATATGTTTTATCTGCCCCCTGGAATTAATGTTTAGAACCTTGTTCCCAAGGTTTGAAAAACATCCGATTGTTGTCTATTACTCGTATTTACCTGCTGGATTTTTTAATCCGGTGGACAGTCCATCTAGAAAGGCCCTCCTGGATGAAGTTACAGAATCATCAACCCAAACTTTACTTGTAGTGTGTCCTGCGTTTACCCACGTTTCATCAAGGTAATAAATCTTCCTGTTTTGATTTCTATATTTCCCAATTTTTCTTAAATAATCCCTCCTCCATAGCACAATTTCTTCTCTATCCAGTAGTAAACTATTACGACCCCGTTTTTTCCATTTGAAATTTAAATGCTTCAGTAACGCATGGAAAGTTGATCGTTTGAAATTTGGCAACGTTGTATCTCCATTTATCTCCTGCAGTACTTTATCTATAGTAGGTATTTCATTCCTAAAGAAGAATTCATGCACTTTCCTCCTAATCGCATGCTTATCAGCTTCATCCAATGATTTAACAATACTTTTGCGATGTTTACTGGTCATTGGCTCAGAAAAGGTGTGATTTTTTTTGTATTGTCTTAACACATTAAACACTGATGCGCGACACACCCCAACTTTGTGAGAAACCTTCACAACAATTTCTTTGATGGTTGATGCCTCGTTCTCCTCGCGCTCGATCTTATATATATTCAAAATGACCTCTTTCATTTCTGCACTCAGGTGTCTTTTTTTAGAGCGTTTCCTAGGTGGACTACAGGAGTTTACAACTTCATCGGCAGTATCTGTACTACTGGGCATTTTGCGCAAGCAGTTGATAACAATAGCAATCAATAACAAGGTATAACAATAACAACGACAAACTCAACAACTTAATAAGATAACAAACGAAAACGTCCAAAGAAATATCAAATTGCAATGATGCACACGACATACGTAACACGTCTGAACCTGAATGTGACTCTGCCTTGATAGGACTGCTCTGCCGCTCGGCATAGGCATTTAATTGCGAATTGACCAATGAGGGCTCCTGTTTTACGTCGAGACGGCGGCGTTAGCGTGAAAATCACCCGAACCTTTTGTTTACATCCCGTCTATCTCTTATCTGAATATACTGTATACACATTTTCAAAACAAAGCGGATGTGTCTATCATCTTTTGTTACGAATTACTCACAAATACGAAATGTTTGAATTTGTTTATAAGAAAAAACGTAACCCATCCTTTTTGCATAAAAATAACATTTATCTTCCGGAATGGTTTGCGATTCATATCGGTAAACTAGTGTATAACTAGCGTATTTACCTATAAAATGCTTTGTGTATTGCTCAATAAACTAATAGTGATGGTGTTTTGGGATAAACAATTATAAATTCTCAAAAACTACTTGACCAATCTACTCCAATTTTGTTCTGATTATTAAGAAGTATGAATCCTACGAATTTGAAGAATTTCAAGTATATGCAAGAAACTTTCGTCGCACTACCAACAAGTGCCAAAACCTGCATTTTACCTCGTGTTTTCGCCCATAACTTGTTTGCCATAGGTCGGATCTTTTTACGTTGTCTCATTTTGTAGATCTCATAAATACCTAAAAATCTTATATGAAGAGTTTCTCCGTTCCTGCCAACACTTTCGATTGAATCCCAGAAAACACGTTTTCTCATCCTTTGTTGTCGAATAAAAAGTTTTGACACAAAAATTGGTGTACCCATTTTATACGTCCTTGTTTTAAATACCCCCTTGAACAACTTGCAGCAATAAAACCAAACTTTACAATTATTTCGCAAACCAGGGGTATTTTCGTCTAATATGATTAGACTAATAATAGGTTTTAGTTGAATGTTTGTTTTCAAAGACTGTGCGATGTTGCCAGATTTCATTACTTCATAGGTTTTCATGTTGATGGATATTCTTGGTAGTTGAATTTGTATGTATGACTTCAAACTCCACACAACCCTACATAACGCCTAATGCACTGCGACTCAATGGGAACAAATTCTATACCAAGAGAGCTGATACGCGTGGAAATGCGTATTTTCGTTAATTTTCTTATATTGCTTCAATATGGCAACGTCGCGGTATGTGAGGATCTGTTACATTATGCAAAGGTGATTAAGGTGTTTAAGCTTTTAAAAACCTAGATAATATCAACAATATTCTGCTACTGACCCATTTGCGGGAATTTTTAATCTCATTTCAAACCTTTTGCCTTTTGCAGAAACAAAAAATGCTGGTGTAGCTAGGCTAGAGAATTACCGTAAAAGGGAATAGCTAGGCCCCTTATTGTATTTTTTGCGCGAAAAGCATTATTCATGATGTGGAGATGTTCAGGAATAGCCACATGCATAGCTCTTTCTTGTAAATTTTTGTAAAACTCTTCAAAAATTCGCCAGTCTTCTGACTCCTTTTTGATCAAGCAATTCTGCTCCTTGATAAGTTGTACCGTATATGACGAGTTATCTTTCCTACAAATTTCATCGACGGTATTCGAATAATGTGTTATTTCAACATTTTTCATGCATAAAATCAGTAGAAAAGGAAAATAAATGGAACTTACCAATTGACGCCATTTTGCACACTGGTGTCTCCATAATACGCGCTCAAAAGTTTTTAGGATTATCACCTTCACTTTCGCACGAATCGGCCATTCCGAACTCAGAATCACTCCCGAACTGTTTGTGCCCACTTCAGGATACGTTTTATCGTGATTTTCCCTATTAAAATCTATAAAAAAGCATGCTTCCGAAAAGACCGTGCCGGTTATGAAAATCGCGTCCGTTAAAAACAATTGAATAAATGAAGCATTGAAGCCGACCAATAGCGAATCTCGCTTTTCCGGGATTTAAAACTGGCAGCTTAGACGCTTTTCCGGGAACTTATTGTTATAGGAGCGTCAAATTAGGATAACACGTGGACATAAATGTTTTCAAACATCGTATTAGCTGTCTTTCGAATTGAAAATCTTCATATTCTCTGTTACGATTATTGGTTTATTGATAGAGATTCGTGTTGACAGGATATCTAGAAAATTATTTTTTCACGATTTCAAAATATCCCAATTTATCCATTTATGAAAAATTCGTGTCTATAGTTCAGGAAATGAAAACTTGTTTCAACAATTTCTAATGCATAGCTCAAGTGACCAATTTTTGAGTCTTTCGAAATTTGTCAAACATACAGAGAAATCAAAATATCACTGACGAGGCAATGTGTACGTAGAAAGAATGCGCATATGGCAACGCGGCAAGCCGCAGCTGCGTCCGTGACCTCGTTACTCGGGCTGCTAGGCAACGTAGTACTTCTGTCTCTTAATATACGTATCGCACGCTGCGGAATTTGTATGGCGACTGCTGTACGAACAGGAATGTTCATTACTCTAAGAAAAATATCACCAAAAGTTCATATTGCGCATCTGTAATCCCAATTTAAATATTTCACAGTAAAACTGAACCCATCGAGGTCAACGTACTGAAAATTTGAAATATGGCGGCACTCAGTCTCATATCTCTGGGTGTCGCGACTTGTCCTATTTTAGTCCGTCTACTGGTCTTCACATTTCAAATACATTGTTTGAATATAATACGGACGATATTGAGAAGGGTAAGCTTATTTTAGACTGAGCGAAGCATTTGGATTTTAAGTGCAGTTAATGGTAAGTAACTGAACTGATATTCTCTGATGCTTCATTGTAGTTCTTCTGAAAGCACTGGATAATAAGTGTTCTCTTACCTGACAATATTAAACGACAATAATTTTGTTGCCAGTGGTGATATTTATTTATGTAAAGCTTTTATATAGGTTTTTATTTTTTGTATTATAGATAGTTACCTTTAGTATATGATACGATTTCAGTGATATTGACCAAAAAATAATATTTAATATCAGTTAAATGGTAGTATGTTGTATATACTATATTTTAATAAATATAACAAGGTGAAATTTAATCTACTATACTAATATCTATTTCTTGTCTTGTCAGTGTAAAATATTAGTACGAGTGATACACAACTTTCCTATGAGCTTTAAAGAAAGTCATACATGAATAGGGAATATACGTGTGATTCAATGATCGGTTAATTTTTTTTATCTAGTCTATATTCCTTCAGAATGACACCTGTAAGCGTTATAAAAGTATCAGAATAATTGATAAAAATTGGTTATACATTCATTAATCGGGTTTCTCATTTACTCTAGATCACAGACAGGGAACTACAATCAAGAGCTTCGATTTTTGAAATATTTTTTGACAATAAATCCGAGTTTACTTCAAATTTTTTCCAATATTTCAGATTTCCAAATCTTCAAAATATTTTTCCAATTTTCAAATCCGATTTTTTCCAAATTTTAAATTCCATTTTTTTTTTTAAATTTCCAAATTCGAGTTATTTTTCAATATCATTGAATTGTCATTGATCCTTGACGCCCGCGCAAATTTTAAAGTTAATCCCACTTCTTGAAATTAGTAAAAATTATGTTGAACGATTCCTTTACATACAGACATACATACAGGTCAAGCTAATAAAAGCATGTTAAAACTCTTGCATATTCCCTATTGCAGAAGGTTAATGATGGATATGTCTCTGTGTATTTATATCAAACTTATGGTGACAAATCCCACTTTATTTATGTTATGATACAAATACATATTTTTTAAGTTTTAGAAATAGGTTATATGTTAGTTGCCTATCAGTGTCACTCAATTCTATGTGATTTTATGTTTGTTCAAAACAAACGCTGTTGAGTATTTATATGAACCTATTTTATAGCATAAAGGTGATATATGTTTAGTCAAGATAAATAAAAAAATGAACATATCGTGAATATACTTTTGTATGATTTTCCTAGTCCAGTTTTGCATTAGCCTCTATAGCACGCCCAATGTTGGGCTTAGCCGTCAGCAATAGTATTTAAAAAATGGCGTCAAGCAGGTTGACTACGCACTTCCCACGCAACCCCTTATCAGTACATAAAAGAATATACAGTGATGGGCAAAAGTATATAGACAAATTAATATTGTGCTGTATTTCTTTTTTAACTTGTTTTTTGAATACACCAACCTGTATACATAATTCGTTATAGCATAATACTCACTTAAACATAAAAAAATTCATTAGACTCCCTTCAATAAAAAACTAATTGAAAAAAACTGGAACAATGAAGGAGAAAAATATATAGACAAAGCATAACAATTATAGAAAAAAGAAGCAAAGTTCATTCAATTATAGAAAACCAACCATGTTTGTGTTAATATTTTGTAGCATAACCATTATTATCAATCACCGCCTGGCATCGTCTCGGCATAGATTGTAGAAGTTTCTTGATATAAGATTCATCAATCTTTCTCCGCTTTTGCTCTAAAGCGGCAAAAAGTTCATCCTTGTTTGAATAATTTTTATCTCGTATTTGCTTGTCTAAGTATTCCCATAGATTTTCAATGGGGTTTATATCGGGAGACTGTGAAGGCCATTTGAGGACTGGTATTTTTTCATCCAGAAAGAATTTCTTTGCGAGATTTGAAGTGTGCTTCGGGTCATTATCTTGCTGGCAGATTGATCTTAAGGGCATATTGTCTTCCATATAGGGTAACATGACATGCTTTAGTATGTCTGTGTATACAAACTTATCCATAATGCCATCTATTCTACGTAAAGGTCCCATCCCAAACCCCGAAAAACACCCCCAAACCATAACAGACCCGCCTCCATGTTTGACAGTGGGCAAAGTGTACTTGGGGTTCAATCTTCGTCCACTAGGACGTCTAACGTAATGAAAACCATATGATCCAAACATATCGAACTTGTATTCGTTACTGAAACATACCCTCTTCCAGTCAGATGCTCCAATCAAGATGCAACCGTGCAAATGGTAATCGGTCCTTAACGGTTTTTCCTCGAGATTAGCGGCTTCTTACTCGGGCGACGTGCAAATAACTTCAAATCATTTAATCTTCTACTTATAGTTTTCATAGAAACACTGACAATTCCTTTTGTCTCGATTTCGGCTTTTATTTGTCTTGGGGTTTTAAACGGATCTTTGGACGAAATTACTTTTATTAATCTAACTGATCTAGCATTTAGTTTTATAGGCCGACCACTTCTCTTAGAGGCTTAGAAAAGACCTTTTTGTTTATATTTGTTCAATATTGCCCAAACTGTTTTACGGACCAGTTTCAAATTTTTGGCAATGTCGACTTGACGTTGACCATCTTTGTATAACTCAATGATCTTAGTTTTCCCATCGCGGCATGGTCTTAAAATCACTCAACTTATTCCACAATACTTGATGAACACAAACTAATCCTCTTCTAACACGAAACTGTACTAAACTAATGTTGAAAAAAATTTGTCTACATATTTTTGTCCCTCATAAAAAAGTGTTTAAATTCAGACCTGTATTGTATTCATTGCAGATAATGTAAAAACAAGGAATTTGGTTTTTCTACTAATAACGCATTTGCTTATGGAGCAATAAGTATGAATTCGTTTTCTAAAGGTATTTACGTAAAAATTCATATTTGTCTATATACTTTTGTCCATTACTGTATTCCAAACAAACTAGGCCCTCTGAGAAAAAAGTCAGTCAATCAGGTCCATAGTAGTGCATCTGGGAACGTCGCTTCTCCCCGATACCCAACTCGGGCAGACTTGTCACCGCGGCAAAAATACGTGTGATTCCATGTGGATTCCATACCAGATCTGATCAAGGTCGGCGCACGACGTCAGCAGCAGTCGCTGCCGATAGGTACGCCATGCGTCTCCCGAGAATATTTTTTCCGGGCTAATGTACAGAAAAATACATGTCTGAAATGGGTGTCCACTGGTAGAGTTATTATCATTCGGCCGGTTTTGTCTTAAATATCATTCCGTCCAGATGTTTGCCATAGCTTCGACCACACTCTTCTAATTGCGCGCGCAAAATTCTGAAGCTCTCTTGCAGAGTACCGCGGTGATGTTTATTTCTCGTCGAATGTTGTCTTTAAGCTCCTCCAGTGTTCGTGGATTATTGGAATACACTTTTGACTTTAGATAACCCCACAAAAAATAATCGCATGGCGTGAGGTCCGGTGACCTAGGAGGCCAGTGACTGTCTCCAAACTGCGATATAACTTTTTGAGGAAAAATTGCTTTCACCGTGTCCATCGATTCTCTGGAAGTATGGACAATGGCCCCATCCTGTTGAGACCATGGTGTTTCTGTTCTTACAATAGGAGCAAAAGTTTCAATCATGTCTTTGTATCGCTCCGAATTGACTGTCAATGCACGACCGTTTTCATCGTCAAAGAAATATCGCTAGAGGATATGGCGCAAGAAACAGTCACCTTTGAGCTATATAGCTGTTGTTAATGTCTATTTTGGGTTCGTTGGAGCCCATCAATATCTGCAATTTTGCTTGTTCTCATAACCGTCTAGGTGCAAATGGTCCTCGTCACTAAAAACAACGCTATCGAATCTGCGCTGCGTAGGAAAAAGATTCAACATCCGTTCAGCGCATGATTTCCGTAATACGTAATCAATTTCCTTTAAAGCATGGACTGATTGGATTTTATAAGCATGAAAACCCATTTTTCTCTTCATTATGCCATGCAGTGTTGACCTAAGGATTCCCAAAGCAGCGGAATGCTTCCGTACAGACCGCCGAAGGTTTGCAATGATCGAATCACTTACTCGACGCACATCTTCTTCGGTTGATACAGTAGGTGTGGGGCCAGGAACAGGTTAAGAGTATAGCCTATTTCACTGAACCTCTTAATCCACCTTTTCAATAGGTTCTTACTTGGAGCATCTCTTGGTCGGCGAATGTGGTATCGTGTACAAGCTGCGTATGCATCACCACTCTTAAAGAAAGCCTCGATAGCAAAAGCACGTCGCGCTCCGGTCCAACGTTCCATTGTGGCTATTTAACCCGCACGCCGAACGCGTCGATCAAGACCTATCCCCACTTCCTCGCGCATACGTTTGCCGCGTAATTAAAAATTTGAAATGTGAACTTTCCCATTGGACATATGTCTAATAGGTGCAATGTTGGGAACGTATAAATGTACTAGCCTCAAGAAATTGAGATAAACCCTCCCCGCCTCCAAGTTTTTTCAGCTCTAAAATTTTTTTCAAAAATAATCCGGATCCTTTGAAAATGAAGTTTGAGCGATTTTAACTTTTTTCGTTTGAGGCCTTTTTTCTGCCGCCCGTGGACCGATTTTAAAAAAAAACTTTTGCATACTTGGCATAGTGACATTTTCAAAAAATTTAGGAAAGAAACGAATGACATGGTTTTTCGTGATGTACATATATAACATCCAAAAAACATGTCTCATTTTCGAAAATTCTCGCGATTAGGAGTGCGAAGTATAAGAAACAACAACTTGGACCACGTGCTCCATTCTCTTCTGCATTTGGACAAATACTGAGCGCAATAAAACATGTTTCATCAAGTTTCGATGGGGATAAAAAACGAAACTCACTTGAAGATTTTTATTGAGAACTTGGTTCATACTTTTAGAACCCAAAAATAACGTTTTTATAAAAATTTCTCTTTCTAGGGCGGGTTCACTGCTGTATGAATATGGTAATAATGCATAACGAACTTAATGAAAACTATCATGACTTTGTACATTCAAAATTAAAGATATTCAACTAAAATCAACAAATCATTTACAGCTGTTCGATATACCTTTTTGCATTTCTCAAAACTCAAAACACACCTTTCAATGTTTAATGACTATTTACAACTTTCTTTACGGGGTCCTTATGTTTAATCGCAATTTTCTCTAACATCCTCTAACATTTCGCTAGAACTCAACAATTCACTAAATGATTCTTCACTAATCCCGTTTTCTACTATTTCTTCTTCTTGAATAACACCTTCTTCAACCAGTTCTTGACTAATCTCTTCTGCAAGTTCTTCTGGTTGGGCTATATTTTCTTCAACTTCTTTTGTTTCATATTCGGCTTCTACTTCACCAGATGGAAGATCATCTTCAGTGTTCTCGATGTTCATCATTCTTAAATTCTCTGGATTTACATCTAGCCGAGTAGACGAACCCTGCTCTATTATGTAAGCCTTATAAGTACGATCTTCTTGATTGTCGTTTGTGGAGAGGGGTTTGAAATCCACCCTGCAAATATAGTATTTTTCACAAGTATCCGTTACGGTAGAATGACAGTTTATTATCTAGTAATATTTCAAAATTCCCCATATCCGCAAAGGACATATCGTTCTGACGGATTCGTCAATTCCAGGTAGACAGAGCCGTATCTTGTTTTGATTTTTTGTACACAATAGATTCATTTTGTACTTGCTAAAGGCTCTTTTATTTAGAAAAGTTCATTTGCATACAAAAAATAAAACGCTACAAACAAGTTTTACTAGATTTACACCCGATTCATTATTTCCAACGTTGCAGACCAACATAAAAATGTCACTTAGATTTAGACTATATAAGATAATTTAATGTTTGGTGGAATTTTGACCGAATATTTTTCGGTCCTGTCCGGCCGAATTTGTATGTGTTCGATGTGTCCAGCTGTTGGTAGGCTTTTTATTGTCGAGGTAAATGCTCAGTTTGTTTGCTTAATAAAAAACAGTGTAAAAAATCACGATTTTTCTTAAAAAATCAGAATATATTTTTTCGATTAAATCAAGATTTTTTCTTTTTATCAATTTGGACTAATATTTTTTCTTAAATATAACAATAATGAACTTTAAAATGACTTATTTTCCTCATTTTTTTCTATTCGCCCAAAAATATCTATTATACGAGGTCTGTAAATTAAGTGATGTGACTTTTTTTATTTAAATATAATTACAATTATACAGGGCAAAAAATAGACGGATATATTTTAGAGGGTGATTTCTTGTTAAACAAATACGAAAAAAAGTTGGTATAAGCATGCAAAGTTGTCAACATACAGGGTAATCAATTTAAAAAAAAAACTTGTTTTCATTATCTTAAAAAATAGCATTTTTTGTATTAAGAGGCAAATTTATCCCTAAATAGATACAAAATATTACGTCCAGTGGCGTCCCAGGGGCATCTTAGCGAATATTATTGACAAAAAAATGTACGCCACTGCCTTTTTTCTAACTTTAATATTTGTTGTTTGCTTAAGAATCTAAAAATACAGCTTCTTTGCCTCTTGTATTTTCTCCATAATCTTGCTTCGTTTTTGAAAAAAAAATAAATCCGTTTTATTGGATGTCACACAATTTTTGCTAAAAAAAAATCAAAAATGCCTTGGAAAACAAAATATCATTTGTGCATGGAGGTTTGACATTTGCGCGTCAGTTCAAATTTCAACAGAATCGAGTAAATATTTTTGATATTAATATTTTTTTAAATTTATCACCCTGTAGAAACTTTGTTTCATATTTTTCAACACGGAGTCACCCTCTAAAATATCTTCTATTTTTAGGTAAACCCTGTATATTCAATGGTTCTTGAAAATGAAGGTCTTCCGCTTCAAGGTTCATCTTCAATCGACTCTCTCCCTTCTGAAAACGCGTTAAACCATCAAAAAACCTCGGCTCTTGACAAAACGCCAGCTCCGTAGGCCTGCTGAAATTTAGCAAGAGTTTCCGTTGCACTGTGTCCAAGTCTGAAGCAAAACATAATAGCACACCGTTGCTCGAAATTGATGTCAGCCAATTTTAGAACACAATAGGAAAAACTGTTTCACAAAACGGACAAGCAGATGACTCGAGCGAGTTCAAACTTGTACTGAAGGCGGTTCACATGTTCACATGTAGCCGTCTCCCCTAGAAGCCCGGCGCCTACAGTGTTACCAGATCGAACGCTACGTTGCCACTTAATCAACTTAATTTCCAGACCTCGTAAAAAATTTCCTCCGTGACCCACATAATAACTTGTCTGAACAAGAAAACAAGAAAATTCGTTCGTCCTTATAATTAGCGGTTGACGCCATTTCTTAACTTATAGTCGGCCCATACGTTCCTAAGTAAATTGCTTGTTAATCTTTCCTCTCCTTTCTTGTTTAGATTGTACTGTGTTTTCAAAAGATGAACTGTCTCGAAGAAATTTGTCAATATTTTACTGAAAACTCGAATAAAAAAGGGAGACAGAGCAAGATATTAAAAATGCAAATTTGAATTACATGTAATTGTTGAACGGATGAAAATACACTAGAAGGTACGTCAGAAAATGGAAGCAGTTCAAGCAGTTATATTGTTAAACATCTATCAGCAGACCATGAAAATGGTTGTATGTACTTTAAAAACCGAGGGGTTCTTGTCATTAATAATTCAATTCCTGGCAAAATCAGATCCTTTTATCGGCACAATGTTTGATGAAGAAAGTCTCAAAATTTTTTCCACGACTAGATGAGTTCCACATTTGGTTCGATGACTGTTTTGAGGAAACACTCCCAGGGCGCCTCATCTCAATTATGGGCGATTTGGAGTGACCGGCCCACACTCCCGATTTGGCCCCTTTTGATTTTCTCTATGACGTTTTTTGAAATCTTATCTATATGTAAACCATCCAAGGAGCCTAGAATATTTAAAGACCAACATTCAAGAAGAAATTGCCAACATATTGCCTGTTATGCTGACAAGAGACGACAGAAATCGGTTTACCCGAGTGTATGGAGAATGGGGGACGTCAACTATCTGATTTGATCTGTCAAAACTCTCATACGATAAAAAACAATTAAAAATGTTTTGATCGATATATTGGGATTTATTGTTTACAAAAAAGGAAGTTATGCTGCCTTGTCTGCAAAGGTGAAAAACCGATACCACATTATTTCATTGTATTGCAGAAAACGTCACTAAAAAAATGGAAGATAAATCCTGTATTTAGTTTTAGCAATGTTTAGCAACAAATCTAATCAATGCATAAACTGTGTCGCACGGTACTGAAGAAAATATCATCCCCGTACTGTCTGATATCGCTTCTACGATCCTCGGCTGGGGGTGAAATTTAATATTCGCCTTCACAATAGCACCACGTCAACATATTAATTTGAGCTATTTAACTATTATACAACTCACCTATCAATAATGAGATGTTCACATCTGTTCAACCGTCTATACCTCGTCTTTTTATGCTTCACCTGGCAGTGCTGCGCGCACGCTGATTTGGAGAGGAATGACTTATCACAATACTTGCATGGAACAGAATAGGCTAAATGCTCATCCAGGTGCTTCTGCAATTCAGCACAATTTGGCATTTCAACGCCGCACATCAGGCAGAAGAACGACGAGATATCGTGGGTCAAACTATGCAGTCGCAGGTGCTCGCTAAAAACGAGAAAAATGAATTTTTAAATGTAGTCACAGTACTCATATTTTCATTTTCCGGGAAATCCCGGAAAACTTTTTGTATCCTTCAAAATTAAATTACTATGAAATATCAATAAATTAACAATAAATCATTTAATTTTACTCTCGCTCTAATAAAATAATTTATATTTTACAGTAAAATTGTTTAAGCAGTTAATTGGTATACTTTTAACAAAATTAATTTTAACAAATTGTAAAAAATATTGATTCACCTTTGTCTTACATTTATATTTATTTTATATGCATTCTTTGTGTTATACTAACATTATATAATTATATATGAGGCTATCAGAGCAAGAGTGGCCTAAGCCACAAATATACAAAAGTGAGTTTGATACAGAAATGATTGATTCTTAAGGTATATTTTAGGGTGAAAGTGGTCTATGCCACATTTGACTACATTGCAAGAGATGGCACCACCAAATCTGTTTTTGCATTGCATTAAAAAGTCTCAACTAGAGAGCAACACCGGCCTAAGCCACAAATTGTGGGATAGGCCACTGTTGCTTTATAATTTTACTAGAAAAGAAACGTGGTATAAACCAGTATAATCAAGACACGATTTTTGATTGCTTCTGTTCATTTAAAAGTGTGTAAATACAAAATAAGGAGTTTGATTATCAATAAGAATGGCTTCCACATCGTATACATTCACAGGTAAGTGGTATAATATTCCAAAATTATGAGAAATATTTTTAGGTTAGGTTCCACTAGCTTTTCCATTGTAAATGCCTTCTATTTCTCTGTTCTGTTTGCGAGACATTACCAATGATCTCAACTTAAAAAAATACCCATTCAATTTTTAATAAGTAGTTTTGTCTATTATACGCATTGAATTAAAGCTGCAAACTAATCAAAATTATAAAAAAAGTTTAGCATAACGTACATGTTTCTTTTTATTTAGAATCGGACGAAGAGCCTGATGAACCTTTTCAAGATTCAGGTTCTGAATATCTTCCAAGCGAGTCTGAGTCTATCTCGGAGCTAAACATGTCCCATGAGTTTGACGCTGAGCCCCAAAACACTGAAAATGATGCAGAGCAGCAGAAGCGCTCTCGTAAGCGCGTAAGAAATGAAAACAAGTGGAAACGCAATGTGACAAAAACTAAAAGGAATCTTGGAGAAGCATACATAAGTAGGAGATCAAAAAAACTTGTTCCCGCAAAAGTTTTTAATAATGTAGACAACTGCTGTACAGATCTTTGTTGGCAAAAGATTCTCCCAGAGCGACAAAAGGCTATTTTCCAAGCATTTTACAAAATTGAATCATTTGATTTGAAGTCGGCTTACCTTTTTTCTTGCGTCGATGTTGTGAATAAATCAAGAGTCTATACCAACAATGGTAATACTTCCAGACGACAAAAGACCCGTTTATTTTATTTACAAGATGACACAGGTAACAAGATAAAAGTATGTAAAAGCTTTTTTAAAGGGGTACTTAAAGTCTCAGATGGCAGAATAACCAGAGTTTTGGTCAACAAATCAAAAGCCATGCCTGCTCCGACAGATGGTAGGGGAAAACAGCCTTCTGCTAACAAAACGCCGGATCATAAAGTTGATAAAGTTAAAGAATTCATTGAAAGGTTTCCAAGCTATCAGTCACACTATTCCAGGAAAAAAAATCCACATCGGAGATACCTAGCCCCAGATTTGAATTTGAGTATAATGTATGACCTCTATAAGAAACAACTAAGTTTAAAAGACGAACAACCTGTATCAAAATACATATTTTCTGAAATATTTTCAAAACAATTCAATCTTCACTTTCATGCACCTGTTTCTGATTCTTGTAAAAAATGTGACTTATTGCAAAATAAATTAAAATTTGAAATGGACGTCGAAAAAAGACAAAGTTTAACAACTGAAATGGAATTACATCAAAGAAAAGCTCAGAGTGCCCGAGAGGGAATGAAATCTGATGCTGTTGTGGCGAAAAATAATTCAGAGGTAACTGCAATTGCTTTTGATCTAATGAAAACTCTTCCGACGCCAGTAATCTCCACCGGAATTAGTTATTATAAAAGGCAACTCTGGACTTATTGTTTGGGCATACATAACTTGGCTACCAAAGAGTCATTCATGTACATCTGGAATGAATCCATTGCATCTAGAGGTCCCCAGGAAATTGGTTCGTGTTTGCTGCATTTTATTAAGAATCAAGTTAAAACAAAAAAATTATTGATGTACTCGGACCAATGCGGTGGCCAAAATAGAAACATCAAAATGGCACTACTATGCAATTATATTGTTTCCTCTCATGATCTCATTGTTGAAGAAATTAACCACAAATTTTTAGTCAGTGGACACTCATACCTACCGTGTGACCAGGATTTCGGACTAATTGAAAAACAAAAGAAATATTTCAAAGACATCTATGTGCCAGATAGCTGGGAAACCGTTGTTAAGGCAGCAAGAAAAAAGGTTCCTTTTAAAGTTGTTCAGATGACAGTCACAGATTTTTACTCTACTGTTAATTTAGAGAAGAATATAACGAATCGAAAAATTTCCGAAAATAAATTAAAAGTAGAATGGATGAAAATCCAGTGGCTGCTCTTTAAAAAGTCGGATCCGCTTAAAATCTATTTTAAATACTCAAATCAAGATTTTGCTCCATTTGATTCAGTTGACGTGTCTAAAAGGAACTCTTCTAACAGTTTTAAAGAGCTGAATCTGTTATATCCAAAAGGACGTAAAGTTGATATCAAAAAGAAAAAGGACCTATTGGATCTTGTATGTTTTATTCCCCCCATTCATCACGAGTTCTATCAAAACCTGAAAACTACGCATGATCAAGACGATGAGATTTATTCTGATAGCGATGAAAGTGAATGTGAAAATTAGGTATTACATATTTCTTTTGTTAAGAGACTAATAAAAATTACTATTTTTTGAATTGTTCGTTTTTTTCCTGACTGTTCAGTAATTTTATCAACAATGGCCTATCCCACCGAATCAACTAATTTCTTTGCATACTGACAATTTCTCGTTAATACAAAAGTGGCCTAACCCACATTTTTTTTGTCAAATTTCGTTTTGCCCATAATATTGAAATAACATTTAAAATAGGACATCTTTTAAAAACTGTTGCAGTGGAAAAAAATCATATTAAAACAAAACTACCTTATTGGCAAAGAAACAAAAAAAGCGAAAATTTAAATTGCGTTTTTCTCAGTACCATGATTTTGGGCTTAGGCCACTCTTGCTCTGATAGCCTCATATAATTAATTAATCTTGATCATCAGTTCTAAATATTTTATTTGGACGCTCTACTTATTCTTCTTCAATATTTGTATAACTCATTTCTTTAAATATCGTTGATTTTCTCAGTCTGCTCTTCATCATCGCCAATTCCAATTAGAGCAAGGTTGTAGCATTTTTTGTTATCACCATGCACAGTAGTCTATATATATAGATCAGTTCGAAACCGTTGTCACTTCGCCTCCACCCCTACTTGGTTGGACTTAATTTATTGCCTAACCATGTTTGCAACTGGTAATACACCCGTAGAAGATTATTTTAAATATGCATTTTTTACAAACCTTTCCAGATCAACTTGTTAAAATAAATTATATTTAAAAATAACGGGGTTAATGTAAATGTTTATAACTATAAAATGGCTATTTTTTAACATAATTTATAACACAAATTTTGAAATAAATAATTAACTTTTTGCATAAATTCTTGAAATTGAAACCAAGAATCGATTTCACTATTGGGCCATATCTTGGGCAAGAACAGTTGTTTAAGTAATTCGTCTCTGGGATAAACAATTAGCTTTTTACATAAACTATTAAACCGATCCGAATGAAATTTAGCACATTTATTAACGCCAATGATGCCCTCATTCTCACAAATATTTAGCTATTTACAATTATTGTGATTGCAATAAAGATTTATTCAATATTGCTAAAAAGCCCCGTATTTAGCTTAATTGTTTATCGATTTTAATTCCTAAAAAACAAAATTGAATGTCTTTTTATGCTCTAAAATCTCCAGCTTACGGATTATTTAATTATTTATAAAATTTGATTTGAAAATAATACAAACAAAATAGTGAATTTTTAGCTGTCCCCATTGTTTATACGAGTAAAAAACAACGCATATCTGGCTGTACTTTTTTATGTATTTGTCATTAGAAAGACCCCTTCCATTTAAAATTGTCAGATATCTGCTAAACTTTTTTTCGCCTTTTATATCTAGCCTGGACTATTAATACATTCGAGACATAACATGTTGTCCTGTAGTAGATTTATCATAGACATGCCCAAAATGTCACTCTGGAATTGTGTAGAATTTCTTAAATTTGATAGGATCACAAATGGTCAAGAACTGCGTTCAGGTGCTGCGATATTTTGCCTTTGATACATAGTATCGGTGAAAATCGTATATCAGTCAATCTCTAGTCAAAAGTAATAAGTCAATCTACTTGACTTTATGATCTACAGCGGCAAAGCTGTGAAACATCGTGGTCATTCGGGGGACAATTCTAAAAATGAGGGAATAGAGTAACTCAGTGAAGGTGGGCGCGATTCTATTACCTTTCTGGAAACTGTATTCCTGACCGCTAAAAGAGAATAGCCGCTCATCGAATTAATTGGGAAAAAAAGTGTAGGAGTGCCGTTGTCGTCCACCAGTCTTATCTCTATGATGACAGAGACGTTTAATAATATGAAAAACCTAGAAACACATTATATTGGCAAAAAAGCTATCAGGAAAGGTAATAGAACACTTTATACTATCTATCCTACTCCCGCATTTCAAGAACTGGGTCCCAGAACATAGCACTCAGACTACTGAAGCCTACACTTACTGCAACTGCAATTGCAATAAATCACTGTGTCAATGTGCGATAAGTAGCGCGATTAATGATCGCAATCAAACTCACAATTATCGGGAAACCTCAACTTGCTTTGCCTGACTACGAACAGAACGGCTTAGTTAAGTTTTTTCTATACTAGAAATAAGGTTATATGTGAAGCAAAATTACGTAACTAACCGATAAGTTACTTTACAAAGACAAGGGTAATCGGATCTACTACTTTTTTCCGTACAAAAACAAGTACAAAAATATTCGTTTTCAATAATTGATACATCATTATAAAGCCTGAACATTGGTCTATTTTTCTACATAAACAACATTCTATGCGATGCATCCTTGAAGACCCTGGGGCAGTAGCTGTAAGGTCATTGAAGAAGTAATGAACCTAGTTGTCAAAACTGAATCGTCCTTTCAAATGTTTTCCTATAAGGTGGTAGTCACAAATATTACTTACGCTGTTGTATAGCTTTTGTTGCATTCATAGCAAATATACATCGCCAAAGCTCTGTGGCGTATGGTTCTATGGAGGTTATACAGATCAAGGTCCATAAATGATCCATCACAGTCTTTCTCGGTACAGTAAAAAATGGTACCTTCAACACTTTCAAGGCGCAGCTTCTCCTCCTCTTGTGCTCGAGATACTGACCTTGTTCTCTTCTTTACTAGTCTCCCGACGTCGTCGTACTCAACCGCTAGACAGAAGAAAAAACATACAATTATTAAAAAGTTTCGTCGAGTCAGTTACGAACATGTACAATAGAGAAATTAAGAGGATTAAGTCAAACAGACCCATAAAACTACTCCATAGACATTCTTTTCTTGCTCTACCGGTAGTTACAGTCCATCTGGCAACGTTGTCCCTTTCAGCATCTGCGCGGCACCGTTTCAGCTAAGTTATCGTTCATTCCGTGTATAAGTTTTAAAGCCCAATGTACTGGGAAATCTATGATGAATGCAATATGGCTAATAGGTGCACAAAATTACCGGGATTTGGGGCGTATAATTAGACTAACGCCAAAAAAATTTCATATAGCCATTCCCTGCCCTTACAGTCCCAAACCCGAATTTCAACCCTACAGAAACTTTTTTCTAAAAGTGATGAGGAGCCACTGAAACGGCGAAAATCAAAGTTCGAGCGATTTTTATTTTTATGTTTTTTTACCCCTAGCTCCACCGCCACTGATGCTATTTTTTTTTTGCTTTAGGACTAAGCCATGCAGCCAGAAACTAGGTTGGTATTTTTATATATCTACTTATGGACAAACACACGACGTCACAATATCCATGGCGAAGGCGAGATTCGAACTCACGGCCCGGCCGGCCGGCTGATCAGTAGCACGACACTCTGACCCACGCGGCCAACCGAGGTCCCCACTGATGCTATTGTCAAAAAATGACAAAGCTTTTCGACCTTGGGATAGTAGTGACCTTGTGTGGAAATCTAGTGCAAACCCGAGCGGTACTTCCCAAGTTATAGTCGGTCCAAGGATTAACAGACAGACAGACAGACCGATCGATGAAAATGAGTGGCATAGTTTTTAGTGATCTACATGCCATATAACATCCAAAAACCATAACATCATTTCCGAAATTACAATAATTCCTTGCCCAGTAGCGAAGGAAGTAAAAAACATTAGAAAACCAAACGACTTCAGAAACAATACAATATTCGAAAAATATTAATTTGAATTAGCTTTGAAACTCACAAAAGCATAATATATTCCACATCACAGAGAACTGCTTTAAGGTCATCTTTGCCCTTTTTTTAAAGTTGCTTAGGCTGAAGTCTCAGATGGCAAGCGGTTGTTCAAGGTGTTAATTAAATATGTACCATAAATTTAACAGACGATTCTTTGAGTAATTTTAACACAAAAAAAAAATCATATTTTACAAAAATTATTCATTCTCAAGATACGGTTTGTTGAAATTTAAAAAAAAATTGGATTTTCGATTCCTTAAATATCTTTTACCTAATTTTGTCGTAATTTGGCGGTCGTCTTTATAACATTAAGGAGCTAATTCAGTCCAGTGGCGCCTCGAGCGGGATCTGAATGAATATTTGTGACAAAAACGTATACGCCTCTGACTTTTGGGCAATTTTTATTATGACCTTTAGATTAAGCAAATAGAAATACAACTTTTTTGTCTCTTGAATTTTTTTCGTATCTTGCTTAGTTTCCGAGAAAAAAGTCCAGTTAATATTGCATATCCCACACACACAAGGAATATGAGGAAAAGTTTCTTTTGAAAATTATTACTTTTTTATAATTTTTAATTATGTAAGAACACCAAATAAACACTAAATTAAATTACATCACACTAATATCTAAACTAATGAATTTTGCTAACCTAAGGAAAAGTAACCAAGAGTTTCATTGAAAACGATTGAAGCATTTAGGGCCGTATCGTTAGTCATTCCTACAATTGTAGGCCAATTATGGCCTCCTTGATTTTCATAATTTTCTACTCTTCCCTGTCAGCGCTCTATTTTGAGGTTATGTTACCAAATATCTATTTGCATCAAATTCATTTCAAGAAGAAAGCATAGCCTGACAATAGGAGAGCGCTGAGAGCCTGAGAAATATCCCAGCCTTTCTGGACGAGAGGAAAGAGTAAAAATCAAGGAGGCCATAAAGGCGTCCTACAGTCGTAGGCCTTAGGGCGGTATTGACAGTTCCTACAATTGTACGACGCCTTTATGGCCTCCTTGATTTTCATAGACTTTTCTCTCCTTCAGAAAGGCTGAAGTATTTCTAGATTTCTACTGCTACATGTCAGCGCCAGTGCTCTCCTAGTTATGTTTAGTTTTTGAATTATAGGCTGATAAAACAGGTGATAAAATCAAAAGCAATTTGATGCAAATAGATATTTGTAACCTAACCTCAAAATACAGAGCCTTTCTGAAGGACAGGAAAAACTATGAAAATCAAGGAGGCCATAAAGTCATCCTACAATTTTGTAGGCACGACTGACGATACGGCCCTTAGTAAACAATTTGACAGTCGTCAACTTAGTATTTATAAGCTATTAGTTTATAATTTTTATAAAAAGTGTATTTAGTAGTTATTTTTTGTCCAAAAATACTAATACTGAAATGGCAGATATGCATTTCTCTTATGGAATGGCTCATGGAAACTAATGCTGCAAGACGCACTTATCATGAAAGATTTCCACAGCATGCAGTGCCTATAGAAGAAGTTTTGGGTTGGACAGCTTCTTGGATATTACTTTAATCAATGCCAAAAATCAGGTTGCAGGAAAACTTATGAGAAATTGCTACTTACTGCTTGAATCAGTAACACAGCTAGAGGAATAGACACTGTTGGGTGTCCTTGACAATGCCCTCCTAATGTTCCATGCATTGATATCGGCAACTTCATCACAAGTTTCAGTGCTTATGTAGGATGACACTGACGACACTGATGTTGTAGAACTGCATCTTTTGAGGCTTCTCGCCCCTAAAGAAGACTTACTCCTTTTCCGTTTCCTTGTATGATCACCTAAAGGTTTCATTGAATGAATAATTTTATTTCAGCATATCCTAATGGAGCCTCAAAACTGGCAATATTTGTGGCCTGGTCATGTATCTCAGGTATATCAGCTATAACTCCACTATATCTTGGCGATATTTTCTGTCATATGTAGACGCGGCAGCTCACATTACTTAAATTATTCTACATTAAGCAGGTTCAAAATGTCAAAAAGCATTGAAGGGCTAGAAAAATATTGTCTGTTGAGAAGTGCCATTACAACATGCACATACTCAAATTCTAGATTTTCTTGATGACACATGCGCAACATAAAATGTAAATGAAACCATTCAAGATTTAAGCCCTGAAGTACGTATTAGGACACACATATATTTAGTGATGTTTTTATTACTTATTGAAGAAACGATTTTATAAAAAAGTATTTTGGTCATATGTACAACTTTTTTCATAAATGCAGTTCAAGGAAGTACATCCACCTTGAAAATTTATGATAGCACCTTGTAAGTTTACCATTTGCTTTCTGATACTGGGTTAAAGCTATAGCATCTTCCATTTTCTTATTATATGACTCGGAATGAGTATGTTCTAGTAAGGCTGAACTATTTTGAGGTGAACCGCTTCTTGGAACCTAAAAAAAAACAACGTTCTAAGCATTACTTAAAGAAACTGGTACAAATATTCCTTTATCTTAGTGTAAAAATTAACAGATGTGCCTCCCCTAGACATATACCACCCCTGCTCATCAATTGTAACAATGATATTTGCTCTTAGAAGCTCAGATGCACTGCTCAAGTGCTCAAGCCAGCAGTTGCCGCCCTCCCCCTTCAATTTTTAACCTTCCCCCATCCCATATAGTACAAAATATTGACAGAGCTGTGGTCAAGTATAACCAATTTTAGGTAAATTATTATTTTGCCATTTACTTATGAGCTCTTTGGACCTATTGTTACAATAGCTCAATATCTACAGTCGAACCTCTATAACTCGAACCTCTCTTTAACTCGATCTTTTTTAGTGGTCCCTGTATACTTTCCAAGATTTTCATGTATTTTAACCACAATAAGTCGAGTTTCTATAACTCGAACACCTCTATAATTGGAATCCAAAGGTGCGTCCTGTCAAAGTGAAATCTCTATAAGTCGAATTATCGAAGAATGCGATTAAGGTTGAGCTTTGACGTCTTATCGTAAGGTGGCGGCACGGACCACTTTGAAATAGATTCGATGAATTTCATCGAGTGTAAGCGGCGCTTGTGTGATATTATGAGATTAAGATAAGAAAAATACTAGACGGATTAGAAACCAATGCCACAATCCTCTAAAATTGATCTCTTGAATTGCATTCATATTTCGGCAATATTATGGGAGGTAGATGTAACCCAAGCAACTATTCAAAACTGCTTCACAAAAGCTGGGTTTGGAATACATTATGACTTAGAAGATGAAATGCTTCTGTCAGAATTAAGAAAAATAATTATCAATGAACAGCAAGTAGCCCTAAATGTCCAAGAGTCCATTGATAGATGCTCAGAAATTTAGAATGCTAACGATTAGGTCTCTTTGGATGAATCTGTAAATGTAGACGAGGATCTAATATCAAGCGAAATTCCTACAGGAGACGAAATATTGGAAAGTGTAAGCAAAAGACAGGATGACTTGGAGGATGAATTGGAGAACAGATCTGATGATGAAGACGACAGTTAAGGAACTCCAAGACAGAAGCCTTCTGACACTGAAGTTTTAAAGGCAATTGAAACCATCCAACTTGCCTTTTCAATGAATGAGGCTGCAACTGATGACAACTTTACTTTAATCTGCCAAATTAGACAAAAATATGGATTTTACTACCAAAAAAATATCAGTCAAAGTTTAATAACTGATTATTTTTAAAGTGCTTTTCAAATTAGTAGTGACTTTTTTCTTAGTTTAACGGTTTTTACTATGTAGTTTAGTTTTTTAATACATATGTTATTATGCATGTATGTATAATAATAAAAAATATGTTTTGGAATATGTATGTTTGTAGGTACATATATACAATGAGGTTTTTCTCTAACTGGAACTCTCTATAATTAGATTTAGAATTAGATTTTTGGCTGTCCCTTCAAGTTACAGTGGTTCAACTGCATTTGAACCCTGACTTCACACTAAAAAAGATCTATATCTTCCATAAAAATAGCTTTACTGGTTCCTGAGATTGTTAAAATATTAAATAATATTTACCCTATCATACTCCTCTTGCTCTGAATCATCTGGTTTCTGTTTTGCTTCCATCTTGATAGTATCAATTCCCTGCAAAGTTTTTTCCATCTGTGCAGTTCCCTTCTGTATTTTGCGACAAATGGTGTTCCATATCTGTCTCTTCGCCTTAGCTAGTTTATCAAGTACAATAAAACAATCATAACAGACACAATCAGATGGATCTATAATTCCTCTAACCTAAAACAATGTACATTTTATTAATATAAAGGAAATATGAGACCTGTTTTATATATATATATATATATATATATAACAAAGACCAGCATGTTTGTTGAAATGGAGGTTTTAGCCTTAATGGTAACATATTTTACATAATTATTCATGCCTGCACATATCTAATACAGAACAGTACAACTTCCTGAAGATTAAGTTGAATTTTTGGGCAAATTTCTATAACTGTAAGAATTAGGCACATGTTGCAAGACACTGCTATGCACAATGATGCCTTGATGTCATGTGTGAACCACTGATATCATAAGGTGTTGTGCTGCTGTCTATTAAGTATGCTGTACCTACATCTTATTGGTAATTTATTATTATTATTAAATATTGAGTTACTATGTAAACTTTACACATGCACAAGATGACACAGAATCTTGCAGATTTTACAAGTGATTTTATGTCATGAAATGCTTTTCGATAGCTTGAGATGTATTTTTACAACAAATAGAGGCAATAGACCATGGTTTAAACTCTAAAAAAGAGTTTAATAACTGTGGGATTGTACTTTACCTGACTGCCATAAAGTTCGCCGAAGTTTTTTTTTATCGTGTCGTATACCGTATGAACATTAAATAGGGTCACATCTTTCTTCAAACACATTATACATATTTCACCAGTCATTTTGAGAGGTGTTTTTCAAATGTTTATCATAGTTTTGGTATTTGACCATTTGTATACAAAACCTACAAAATACAAAACCTGACGTTGCTGTCATCTATGATCTATAGCACGAAACATGCTGATTACATTTTATTTTATAAGTCAAAGCAGCGCCACCTTCAACTAAGTTGAAGGTGGCGCTGGTCAAAGTCATAAATGACACAAACCAAACACAGGAGGCACAAAATAATCAAATCCAAGATCCAAGCGAATAACCAAAATTTCTGTGTTAACAAATTTCGGGTTCATGCACGACTTAAACTAACCGAACTAATGTCGGGCTCATGCACGACTTAAACTAACCGAACTTAAGGATCAGCTGTTTCTACACCAGTGTCCTCCACATGTTACGCCTCCAGATAGTAACTAGCTAATGACTTCCAGTGGTGGTCAAACGTTTTGGTGACGTCACACCCATTTTTTGACATGATTCGGGTGGTTTCGGAACTCGTCTTACCCTTGGATAGCCCTTTCCATACTGTTCTATGCTCGTATTGACGTAATTATAATAATTCTGTGGTGTCTCGTGTTCCACGACGATTTACCGAGAACCGAGAAAGCCAGGCAGTGACTCATCTGTTGTTTTTGTTTGAGTTGACGAATTTGCGGTAGAGATTTGTTTTGGTGTTCGTATTCGGGTGTGTTTTTCTGCCTTTGACTTGTTTTTTGTGCGATTAATTGAGGATGGCCATGCCTAGAGCAAAAATAACGAAAAGCCGCGGTGGTATCAACTCCTGACCTTGTTGAAGAGGTACCTGCAGAAGTCACCTGAACGCAATCGGACATCGCCAGAGGAGCGCCTAATGATGACGTTGCAGTAAGTATCCAAATCAGTTCATTTTTGCATAAATCACAAAATATATTGAGGTTATGGTCGTTTTCTTAATTTCAAGGTCACTTCTTAAAATAAAGTTCCCTATATTGAACTTTTCCTTAAGAACCAACCAATCGGATCACTAGCGTTGGTCATCTGATCGCTACAGCTGGAATTAGAAGATGGCTACGAGCCATCGATACTGTACAAAAGTCGATAGTCGATATTTATATCGTGATGTTTGATCGATTTTATATCGCTGTATGGGCAGATGGTTCGGTGATACTTGTATGAAAAATTATTTGCGCTTGCTTACGCATGACAGTTTAGAGCTGAACATCGGGGCGGATTGATAAAAAAAAATCATGTTAAAAATTATAATAATTAAAGTCAGTGGTCATGTTTACTTCATAAATTAGATAAAAAAACATCATGAAAAAAATAAACATGGGTCCTAAATTGCCCCTTACCAAGATAGAGGATTTTGAAATTATATTCTAGAGAACGAAAAAAAAAAAATGGAAATGATCTTAAAATATTGTGCTTGTAGTACTGACTTCATAGCTGATAGATGCAAACACTTTCATGTCTGAGACTGTACCAGTGGTGATGTTGGCAAATTATAGCCCCTACAGAAGAAAAAAGAGAATTTAAATCTATACCATGCCCCCCATGACATGTTTTTCCAAAACCTCACAGAACACTGTGAAGGTACTTTGTCATTAACTACAAACCAGGTGTACACCTGATGAATGCAGTGTATTCGCTGCCCACCAAATATGTAATCTCTTTTGACGTTTATTGAGGTAAACAGATTGAGTACTTAGCACGTAACTTTTTTTGTGACATCTGTACTGTTGGTAATAACAAACCTGGTAAAGGGCCAAATTAAGGACTGGCGTTTGGTATCACCAATGAAAATTTTTTTTTAAACACAGAATTTTGGCAATCAAATGTATACTGCTAGATTGGGAATTTATACATATGTACAGAGCAGTATCATCTGAAGGGGCATGGTGAGATGACTATGTTTCTGTTTAGTGTTTGCTGACCAAATATGACAGTGATATTATGCTAATAATTTTTTTTTTGTTTCACAGTGTCAAAATCCTTCGAGGAGACAGTTGGAATGAAGATCGTCATTTATTTTATGGATACCAAATTAATTATCAATGAGAGTTTGTTTCCTAGTTTGAAGAAACAATTACTGTTTTATGTGTTTTTTTTTTGTTGAGGACAATTTTGTTAGCCTTTACCCATTAAACAGTGTGCGCAAAACTATTTTTGATTCACATATCAGAGTGATTATATTTTTGTATTCCAGTCAGTCCTCTACCTACAGATGTATTTTTTGTTATTTTAGTATTTATGTTTTCGCAATAAATATACCTGATCAATTAACAAGTGCTTGCATGATATTGCACTGATCAGGTTCATAATATAGAGAAAAATCCAGATGAGTAGAATACCTCTATGTATGTACAATTTATTGTAATGAAGAATTTGTTCTATTATTGCTGTGACTGTTCAGTAAATATTTTTTAATTATACATTTTTTTATTATCCTGAAATTCATTACTAGTCAAACTGATGAAAGAAATACTCCCTTTATTGAGGATGTGTTATGCATCTATGATCATCGAACTGCCTCAATATCGGTCGTCCATCAGATTTCGTAATGTAAACAAATGAAATCGCCGACACATTCCTGATATGCGTTGTCGGCATACTTTCAATATTTATAGTTCCACCAGATTTCCAGCCAAGAAAAGTGGCGCTGCCGTCGAGGTTATAGTCCAAGAAATATCTTCACATCTGCTCAGGAAAATATTCGGATTCGGACTTTTTGCATGTTATTCGAAAAAGCCTCCTAGTAACAAATCTACATGTTGTCAGGCTCCAAATTGCGTCTCTAATTGTTTGAACAACTTTTTCAAATAAATTACAAAAATTAATGTTTTCGCTTCATCAAAGGTAGCATTCGTTTTTTGATACTCCGAAACAAAATGATGTTTGACAATGTTTGTCAAAAGTTGATTTTGTACGAGATGGGAAAGTACAAAAAATTGATTTTGCGATACCGAAAAACGATCAAAAAAAACGAAAATGTTAATGTCGCCATGCTTCATAAATAACCATTAACGATACCATTTAGGAGATACTGTTATTATAAATCTTTGTATTTAATTTATATGCAAGCGGACGCTCAATGCATATTCAGCGTGCACGAGAGATATTTCATCTCTCTCGCGTTCACATAGACATAGACTATACATTGAGCGCGCATTCAAATGCTCTGGGGGTTTTGTTATTGGTTGGTTGAAGCATGTGTGAGATTTGGCAACATCAAAATATTCATTTTTCATATTGTTTTTAGGGTAGCAAATGACATATTTTGAGTTTTTACATTGCTTATACCTGTATATATCAAGTCTAGAGAAAAGTGCTAAAGCTCATTTTTTATTTAGAATGTCCTAAAAACCGCAAAATACTTTAAACAAAGCGAACAAATCAATTTTTGGAATCAGTTTAATAATTTTTGGAGCAATTTTGGGCCTAGTCACATGCAAATTCTTTAAGAGGTCCTTGAATCAGATTATGCAAAAATAGGAATCGGAAGAGTTTTCCGAGCAGATGTTCCGATATTATCTGGACTATTATCCGAGTTCTGTGACTTGCATTGGCGCAAGCGTGTGGGGAGGGGCCACTTGTCAACGTCAAGGCTTGTCCGCCAGTCCACGTGACACATAAGCCACAAAACACTCTTTCATCTGCTACTTTGACGTTAAACATATGATTATTTAAGGGTATTTAACTTTCATGTTGCCTCAACTGCTACGTTGGCAATCCTGGCCGCGCATGCGCATGAAATGCTCATTTTCTTAAGTTAAGTTAGGTTAAATCGTGCATGAACCCGCCCCACCTCTATTCGTCATTTATTTGTCTGGGCGGTCCGTAGGACCTTTGCCCATTAGTCACTGTCTGATGCACGTTAGTCGAATCTGTCAGTCCTGATTGCCCAGAAACCAGACAAAGTCAGGGAAAAAGAGAAAGGGAAAGAGAAGAAAAAAGGAGAAGAACAAAGAAAAATAGATATGCTTATTTTAAGAGAAAACACCTAGGCTTTTTGACTTGGTACACGGATTAATTTTGAGGTGAACTAAACAAATTTTTTGATTCGGTTTTGTTAGAGTGTAATTTTGAGTTTACTAAAGATTCACAATAACTTTTGATTACAGTGCGAGCCGTGGCCTTGAATGTTTACGAACTTGCTCCACTGTGTAGTTCACTGAGTCACGCAACAGAGGATTGCTGTGCGATTCCGCTTGACTATAACATCGCTGTGCCTGAAGCTTGACATAATCCCTCAAGTAAGGAATGTCAAGGTCTCTGTGTAGTGTCTCATTTGAGACATACCATGGAGCGTTGCAAATTGTCCGCAAAGTTCTGCTTTGCAGTACTTGAAGACTTTGCATGTGTGACTTGGCAAGAAAACACCAAGCCGCACATGCATAAGTAATGGCTGGTCTAATAGTCATTTTATATAGTCGAACTTTGTTTATCAAACTCAATTTGGAGGAACTACATAACAAAGGATATAGTTGCCGAAACGCAATTTGGAATTTTGTTTTTATGGATGCTGTATGTTTCTGCCAGGTCATGCCTTTATCAAGGGTGACACCGAGATACTTGGCAGAATTTGTCCATGGTACACGATTTCCGTCTACAGAAACCTCTGCTGGGGGGCCGCGACGTTTTTTGGTACAATAAATAGCCTGCGTTTTCGAATGATTAATTTTTATCAGCCACCGTTCCGCCCACTCTAGAACTTCGTCCACCGCATTCTGCAACCCATCGTGAACCAGATCACCAGTACACGACTGGGCGACAAGTGCAGTGTCGTCAGCATAGAGGTAGACTTCACAGTTGCTGGGGGAAGGGACATCATGGATGAAAAGCGAATAAAGAATTGGTCCTAGGACCGAACCCTGAGGAACTCCGGCCCGTAATTTCTGTGTTATGTGCCGCGGTTATAATATGGTTCAAGATGACACACGGGTTGATTACGTCAGTTACACGAATCGCTTGAACGCGTTGGTTTTAACCGCGGTTTTGTTGCAAGTTGTTTATGTTAGAAAAGCGGGTATATAATCTCTGATTATTTTTATTATCACTTAATAATCGGTGCTTTTTCGTCTACAACTGTATATGGAAAGTTTAAACAAGAAACCTTTCATAATATTCATGGGAGAAATGTTTTTTTCAGATTTTTTTTTTAATGATGGAACCATGGCTTTGTAGCTATGATAATTTTCAATTCTCTAAATTTTTCCGCATGTCAAAGAAAACATTTATTGATTCAGCAGAAATGATGAAAAAAGAAATTAGCAAAACCGTATACAGGTGGATATCATCTAGTGAGTTTATATGGCCATATTTTAATATTCTTGTGGTATATGGCTACACAGGATACTTTGTTAAGCATAGGAACTACATATAAAGTGTCCCCAACAGCCGTAATGAGTATAACTAATAAGGTGCTCCACTTTATGGTAAAACTGAAGTCAGCCTGTACCAATTTTCTCAAAAATGAAGCTGAAGTACAATAACAATACCCGGCAAAATTCTAACTTGTCACATTTCAAATAATAACCAGAAATATAAAACTACTCTTGAGTTGGGTAAATACCACAATTTTGCGGTGATAACTATGACATATAACAGCTGATTCGTGACGTCACGGATCTTATAACCAAACTGATAACTACACTCGCTTGAATGGATAGATAAATACCAACCCAAAATGGTAAATACCATTTCCATTTGGTTATCCGCTTGAATTTGATTATTAATCAATAATAGGAAAGGATTTGTTTTATTCATGACTTGGAATTTTGATTGTGGTTGACATTAACCCTTAATAGCTACTCTTCCAAAACAATCACTTTTGAACTACCCAAGGGTCAATATGACCCAGATAAAAAAAATTAAATGTAAAAGAAAAACAACATCAAAATAATTTTATTGACAAAAGTAAACAAACGTTTATATTGTAATATAACATGTAAGTGTTGAAAAGCAAATCAAAAACAATTTGGGCATATGTTTTTGGCACAATTACGACATACTGGATTTTTACAGCTGTCACAGAAGGTACTAGTTTTTTGGTCCTTTTTAGATGGGCAAGTAGCACACCGCTTTCTTTTGGAAGGAGGAATGCGTTCAGTAGACTGTGCTTCAACATCAAGAGAAATTCCCAGTATATTCGCCATCAAACTTCTGAGTTTACGGGGAATCTTATTATTGTACATACGAACCATAATATGGCGTTGACATAAACTACGAGCTAAATTAAACAAGAAATTCCTTCTTGTTATTTCTTCTCCATTTTTAGAAAATTGAAGTAATACTCTAGAATTGATTCCTGCAACATTTAGCATCATGTGGAATAATGCCATGGGCCAACGGCGAGTTTTCCTGGAAGTTGAATAATTGGAACATTTTTGATCGAGGGCATCTACTCCAGCTTTTGTGTCGTTGTAAAACAAAATGATTTCCGGTTTTTTTGTTTCATTATCAACAGATGAATCATTATGCATACTGGAAATCAAAATCACTGACTTGTTTTTCTTCGGTACATATGAAACGAGAGTTTTTCCAGAAGTAAAGCCGAACTCTGTTGAAAATTCTTGACGCAATCTAGACGGCAAAAATTCTTTAGGAATACACCTTTTATTTTTTTTCAGAGTGCCCACGTAGGTTACATTTACTTTACTTAACTCATCTACCAACTCTACAGAAGAATACCAATTGTCACCTGTGATATTTCTATTACTTCCAATTACCGATTCCACCAAGCGAAGAACAACTTGTGTTGGTTGAGATAATTTGCATTTACTTTTCTCCAGCGACTTTCCCGCATAAATTTCTGCATTTAGCAAATAATGAGTTTTTGAGTCTGCAAGAACTTGTACTTTAAGACCGTATTTAGCGGGCTTGCTTGGAATAAACATCTTAAAACTGCAGCGTCCGCGAAACGGTACCAACATCTCATCTACGGTCAAGTATTCCCCGGGTGAGTAGTTTCCTTTACAGTTTTGGATAAATTCTTCAAAAAGATTTCCTAAAGCGGCTAGTTTGGTATTTTTCATTCTTTCTTTTCGTGTTAGTTCGTCGTCAAATCGAAGGCAGCATAAGAGAAAGGAGAACCTAGCAAGTGACATCGTGCATCTAAATATGTCACGTCCCGTTCCATCAGTAGCCCAAAGGGACCTTAAATCTTCATGGCCTGACTTGTATAACCCAAGGAAGTATAGAAGACCAACAAATGCCTCAATTTCTGTTTTGTCAGTTTCACCAATAAATGAAGGCCGAAATTCCGACCTGCTATTGCTCTTCTTCTTGAACTTTCCATAATGACTTTGAACTGATCTGATTTTTGTATTAGTATGAGTTATAATTTGTCCAAATATTTCATCTGTCAGAAGCAACTTCCAGGCTTGTAAGGCAGATTGAGGTTTGTGTTGTGCTGCATTTCCTTTCAAACCGGGCAAAACTTTTATGATGTTTTTTGCAAGAGTCTTTCCTCTTACTGGAGCAGTAGTAGACCATTTTGTTCTATCTTTTCCATACAAAGCTTTTGGAACTTCCTTTCTGTTTAAATTCACATCTTCATTACTGGTACTAGCTGAATGTTCTTCGTCTTCATTTTGTTCGTCGGAAGGCTGCCATTCCTGCTCACTGTCCGTATCGTGGGTACTTAGTTCCTCTTCGTCTTCCTCTTCTTGATCGCTCTGGTCCCCAAACGTAAAAAGTTTTTCGCATGCATCACGTTTATCCTCCTTTTCAATAGTATTTTCATTGTATTCGTAAGTGGAAGATGACGATAATGCAGTATTATTCACGTCGAAATCCTCCCAGAACTCATCAGACTCAATAATTTGTTCCAGCTCTTTATCAGTAAGTCCTTTAGCCATTATAACCTGAAAACATCAAAAAAAAATACTTCATAAAAAAAAACTAAAAATGGTGGTTAAAACTTACCTTTTCATATAAAAAATACTACCAATAGTTCATAAAATATTCAAGTAATTCGGAACAAAATAATAACGTTTATACTATCCACGGGTCATTTTGACCCAGTGGCTGCCATTACAGTCGAATGAACTACGTCACTAGATTAAAACTACGATGCACATTTACTTCAACAGCGGCTGAACGAATACTGAACCACCGCCAGCTGTTCACGTTTAATATAAAGATACGAAGTGGGGGGGACCTCATATCGATGGGTCATTTTGACCCGTGGGTAGCTATTAAGGGTTAAAATTTTTTGACAGAGAACTGTTCCGATAATAACGTAATTAATGACGTTTTCGAGACTTGCATAAAAATGCACTGGTTGTCATATTGGTTGGGACCAATATAATGGATTATTATAAGTTGTTTTTGCTGCAATTTTAGAACTTTTCAAGTTTTGCTTTCAGAACATGAAAGTAAAACAGTATAGATACTACATATCAACGCATTCGCAATTTACTTCAAATCGATGACAAATGTGATAAACCGGAATCAGAACCAGCCTCACGGGTACCCCCCCCTATCTCGTTAGTGCTTCAACGATGTATCACATTACATTTGTTTTTTTTTAGTTATAAACAAACTTGTTTTTTCTATTTCTTCATTTTATTTGAGTAGGAGTTGCAAACAAATGCTTGATTTAAGATTGTGTGAATACCGACTTTAACCTTATCTTGTAATGCATTATTTTGTAAGTATTCTTGTGTACTTCCATTCATTTCTGAAAAATCTCAATGCCTCGAACAAAAGACTATTTTTAGTCCAAGGAATTGGTGATAGTCTATAATTGACAGTATTTCACATCGAACTTTGACACTAAGCCCTTGGCACTATGTTTACTAAATATGGTGGTGCAAAAAATCAAGCGTTGATTCTTTGCCGTTTTCAAACATGGAATCTCAGCCCCGTGTTTAGGAAACTACAATGTGTTACCTCGGTTGTTGGAGGATACGTGGGCACCAAATGTCCAACAAGAGTAAGGATAAGGATATATGATGCGTCCAAAATGCTGATTCCGTCTGCCTGTAATTCCACATTATCGACGAGTTATATGTTGGATTCAAGTTCAAATCCTTCAGCTTTTTAGTTTTCTCAAAATGAATGCCTAATATCTCTGGGTAGAAGACGGATACTAATAAACAGTAGAGTAAAATGAAAATCGTACTTGTCATGTAATTTTTGATCAAACAGGTAATAAATATAGTATATAATAAAACATTGTTTTTTTAAATTGTTGGAAAAAGTGTATTCAGAAAGTATTTTATCCTAAGACAACTGGGCATTTATAAAAGTGTTCAGAGACATTAACGTTCCGCCGCATAGAAGCCAGGCGACGCAAAATGTAAATAACAGCTTTTGTTTAGTTTTTTGGCAAACATTGCTAAGCCTCAAATTTTATAGATCTCCATTGGCATCCCTCAATATTTTATTCGAAGCTTATTTTTGTATAACATTCTAGCGAAATAGCAGAGGTAGCAAAATTGTCGGATGAGATGGTAACGCCACAATCTACGTGACAAGATCAACTGCCAAAACGTCTGTCGCTCTGTCTATCCCAGGGTAACGAGGGGTCATTTAGTACGCCAAAGTGGCAGTATTCCAATCATACGGTCCCGAAATTCATTATCGCCAACATTACAAATTAATATAAAGATGTCGCTACTGGTGAAATAAGGTTTATAACAGGTTTATAATAAGTAACATAAAAAGCATAGATAACATAACCTCCAACCTTGCTGGCACTGCTTTCTTGACAAATATTTGGATTTTTAATAAACTTTGAAAACAAAAAAATGAATGTGAGTAGATCTGGAAGTTTGAAAATGTAATTGATAACTAATAAAAATTAATCTGTAGCCTCCTCAAAAAGGAAAACAGAAGACCAAAGGTGCTAATCAAATTGTAGAAGATAATATAGCCACATTGAGCTTTTATAGAAATATGGCCATTGGAGCAAATGCACTATCGTTAATTATATTAGTATTTTACCAGTCAACAATTAGCATAGTAAGTATTTACGCAAAAAGAACATCTTCAACTTTACATAGTACTGTGTCATATTTTAAACCATAGTTCTTGACATGTCTTTTTCTATATTTTCATTTTTTGTGTTTTTTGTTGCAGATTTTATATTTATTCTCATGTTTAGTGTACATTGGATCATATCAATTCATGGCTTATATGGCAAAAGCAAAATATTTTGAAACTGGGAAGCTCATTGATAGTGGAGTAGATTTGAACATGGAAGGTGGCATTGCAGAGTAAGCATCACAAAAAGTATATTTAATACTCTATGTCAAAATATATTATTTACATCTTTGTGAAATAGAAATATCACTTTGGTTAGATTTACTATACTCCTTCCATTTGGTACACCAAAATGAATGATAATGCAACATAAAATTTAGGAGTTAAAAGTGTATATTTAAAAGATCTAGGATATCTATTATCCACTACTTTTCAGGCACATTAAAGACGTTATCATATTGACAGCTGGTTGTCAAATACTATCATCAGTAATTTCAAACTACTTTTGGTTGCTATGGTTATTGGCTCCTTTGAGGGCATTTTGGATTGCTTGGAAAAATATATTGCAACCTTATTTCTTCCAAGAAGCCCCTGAGCAGGAGGTAAATGAAAAAAAGCAGAAAAAGATGGAGAGGAAAATGAAAAGGATTCAACGGTAGAATTTACTTGACGGAAAATTCTGTTGAAAAAATTTGTTTTTTTATAGGATTTCTACAAGATAGATTTTCTATTTTTAATTCTATAATATAGTGAGGGAATAAAGACATATTTATAAGATCTGTTGTTTAGATATCACTACTTCTACCTTTGAATTCACACTGATTAAATAATTAATAGTGGGTTAGAATAGATAGGGTAGGTAATTCAGCACTTCAGCTATTTTCTAATACAGCTCTGCCCAAATGCACTTTGTATAGTTAATACAATATAGGTGTGTAAGGAATGGAGAATTTAACTTTTCGACAGCTATTTTGACTGCACACACCAGTTCTGCATGGTGAAGAAATACTATATACTTCATATTCCCCTGGGCATGGGGAGGCAGCTGATGATTTGAGGTCTATATGCCATAATCTCAATAAGAGGCATCGCTATTTATTACAACCACCAATACACAGAACAGCCAAACTTCAACCATTTTCAACTGTATTTCGTTTCACAACAAATTTCCTATTGGAATAAAATCATGTGCTAATAGTTCATACAAGAAAAATATTACTGAACTGCTTCTGACTGAGGCATATTATAGTTGTAAAGAGTTTTTGGATGACACTCTTTAATCTTCACTAATATATTTTTTTCTGAAACATGTTTGTAATTTTTTCCTGAGCGATTTGACTTGACTTCTACTATCAGGGTAGGCTGGGAGCCTTTTGCCCAAAGATTACTGAGGTTCTAACAGGCAGAAAAGCGAATGTAACAAAAAATGCCAAACATAGATTATACAGTTATGAAAATTATATGAAAAAACAGTCAATGTAAATAAAAGAATAAATCATGGTTTCAGAGTTTAGTTAAAGGAGTGCTAATCTAGGTCTTTTGAGTTTGAATGTGAAGTTGCCCGTTCGTAACTTTTGCTTGCAATTTGCTCAATGAACTGAGTGAAGAACGGAATATCCAGGTCATGGTGAATGGTGGCGTTAGAACCTCACTCTTTAGTAAACTTAAATTCAAAGTTTCACAACAATACGTGCAGTGTTCTCACTACAGTTTTTTTTTAGTGTCACCAAGTTATTAGAAAAATGGAACTCATCCGAGAACATTTTCGCGCCATAATTTATTACAACTTTCAACCGTTTCAATTCCGGAAACTCAGAAAATGTGTACAGCATTGTTAGTGGTGATGAATCGTGGATTGACTCTTATGAACCACAAAATAAACGACAGTCGGCTGTTTCAAGGTGAAGAAAAGCCAACAAAAGTCATCCGTTCTCGAAGTGTTTCGAAAAAGATGGTCGCGACATTTGTGTCAAAAGCGGGTCATATTGCAACAATTCGTCTTAATGAGCAAAGAACTGTTACTGCCGATTGATATACCACCATTTGTTTGCCAAAAATCATCACCGAGCTTCGAAAAATCAACCCCGAAAGAAGAATCATCCTCCACCAAGACAATGCAAGCTCACACACAGAACAAAAAACAAGGCAGTATTTAAGGGAAGAAAACGTGGAATTATTGGACCATCCTCCATATAGTCCCGATCTAAGTCCTAACGATTTCTTTACCTTCAAGAAAATTAAAAAACAGACTGCGTGGTCAAAGGTTCCAGTCACCAGAAGAAGCAGTTGGCGCATTCAAAAATGCCGTTTTGGATCTGCCAGCAAACGAGTGGAATAAGTGCTTCGAAAATTAATTCGAGCGCATGCAGATGTGTATTAATCTTCGTGGAGAATACTTCGAAAAACAATAAAGTCATTTAAAACTACCCACCGTGTTGTTTTATTTCCATATGCAAAACTTAAAAGACATCCCTCGTACCAAGGAGCATGCCGTATTGTTCATAGCAAAGCACCAAGCAACACATGCGCAGGTAATAGTTGGACGTATAATCGATTTGTATTATACTAGTTTCTTAGTTAAGCTCAGTTGAGCATGGGGTATAAATTACGAAATACGAGCTCTAACAACTATATGTTCGGACGATGACTGAATTATTAAAAAAATATATTTTACCTTATTTTAAACGTGATTTTTTTTTGTCTTCCCGACTGAAAAATCAAGTGACATACTCCTACCTACCATACTCCAAAAACATAATAAATAAACTGACAACTAAATATTCGGACGCACTTGAATCCTACAACTTGGATCGACCATTAATAAGACGTAACGTCACCTTTTGCAGCAATTACGGCTTGAATACGGCGTGGCATAGAATCTACTAAAGTCCTGCAATATTCGGGGGTGAAAGAGTTCGATATTTGGATCATTTTAGCCTTCAACGTTGGAACTGTGGATAGTTACGCAAAGGCTTCTTCATTTGATGCCATAATGTTTCGATGACATTCAAGTCCGGGCTACTTGCAGGCCACGATAAAACTTTTATATTATGGTCACCAAACCACTTTTCGTTGTTTTCACGGTGTGACCATCCTGTTGAAAGATAAAACTTTCATTTCCAAAATATTGTTCCAATGTTGGAATCAAGCTTCTTGATAAAATATGTTGGTAATTTTCGGCATTTACAGTACCATCAATAAAATCATAGTTGCCGTTTACTACTCGTACATCCTCATATCATAACCCCTTGGGGAAGTTTTACTGTTCACTTTAGGCAGTCTTTATGAAAGGCTGATTTCTTACGAATTACCCTTTTTCGAAAATTACCTACGCATACATCAAATTTTGACTCATCGCTGAAGATAACTACTCCACATTTCCCTGTTCCTGGGTATTTTGGGTTTGCCCAATCTAAACGTTTTTCCTTTTGAACAGCTGTTAATAATGGCTTTTCGTACAAGGAAAATGTACAAAAAAGACATTATTGTTTTTACGTAGTAAAACGAAAAATTATAAACTTTGTAAAAACTGTAACCAGACTTATGCAACCATTGTCTACAGCATTCCCTGGAGATATTTAAATTTGCCTCATGATTCCATTGGGCTTGTATTTCCCTTGGGGTACCCCTTTTGTTAGAGCTGCATATCTTAACACGTTCGCTGCCAACTCGGTCTATAAGACCAAAATTGTGTTTGTTTTATTCGCCATCATGGTCTATAAGACCGAGAAGAAATTTTGCCAGCCTCGCCAACGCGGTCGATTAGACCGAGCCGAATATTCAATCCTCTTTCGCCAGCTGTTTAATTTTGCATTGGTTTAACGCTGGTAGTAGACCGAGTTGGCGTCTGAGGATTGTTGGCACATATCAGTTATGTAAAAAACTGATTGAATTTTAATATTTTGGTTATTTTATTTCTGGATATGGTAGGTTAGAGAAACAACAATAATTTACTTTATAAATCGTTTATTTTTTCAAAAATCTAGAACGAAAACCAGTAGTTTACATAATAATATATAAAAAACGTAAGAAAAACATTTATTTCTATCTAAGGAGTTTCATATCTATGAAACTTATTAAAGCATGATAAGCAGAAAAACGGTTCACCATTACAACCTTTACAATAATAACGTCCTCTAGTGAGGTTTCGTGCTTCTTTCCATCCTTTCTCGGCTCTCACTTTTTCATAGCATCTACTGCAAGGTCTTCGTTTTTTATAATCACTTTTGCCCATTTCATGCTTTTGGCGTTTTCTTTTTGGAATCATCTCAACATCTGGTTGCTCTGCTAACCCATCGTCTTGCGCTTGACATAACTTGTATGTAACAGCTTTTCGAAACTGAAGTAAGGAAATTCTGGCATTCACAGTTTCCTTACACATAATCCATGCATTGACCATTGCAGTATTCAGGATAATCTCTACGGCTAACTTACGGTACCACTTAAAGGTTCTACGCAAAGGTGTCTGATAAGCTGTCATCTGATCAGAGATATCAACCGACGACTTTCCTGAGTTATATGGTACAATGGCTTCAGGCTTCTTTACAGTTTTTTGTCTGCGGTTTGTCGTGTCTACTGTTGTGTTGCTATGTTTGGTAGAAAGCACTAAAACGTTGCGTTTATCATTCCAGAAAATTACTCTGACACCGTCCTGATTTTCGAGAGCGGCTATCTCTCCACATTTAAGTTTTTTGTTGACCAGGTCTTTTGGAAGGCCTCGTCTGTTTTTTCGTAATGTGCCTATCAAATATGTTTGCCTATCCATCAATCTTTTTGCCAAATCTACACTTGTATACCAGTTGTCTGTTATAAGAGTGCGGCCCGAATCTAGTATGGGCTCAAAAAGACTCATAACTACAGATGTGGGTGTAGTATGACCTTGGTCTAATTTTTTTCCTGCATAAATTTTAAAGTTATAGGTATATCCTCCTTTGCTGCACAATTTGAATACTTTTATTCCATACTTATGGCGCTTGTTTCTTATGTACTGTCGCATTATTAATCTTCCCCTAAATGGAATAAGGGACTCATCAATGCAACAAGTCTCGGAAGGTTCATATGATGTTTTAAAATTATATACTATTTTGTCAATCAAAGGTTGAATCTTATGCAGTCTCTCATTATCTGGATTATCCTGATTATCTGCAAAATGCAACATACGTAGCAACAGCTCAAATCTATTACGTGTCATTACTTTAGAAGCCATAGAGTTTTTATACATAGCTTCTCGGCTCCAACAGGCTTGTATATTAGGCATTTTTACAATACCCATGTACGAAAGCAAGCCAAAAACTTTCTTGATTTCATTTTTATCTGTAGGGAACCAATTATGTAACCTAGATGTACCTTTTACATCTGCTTCATCTGTAATAACTTGCGTGGCATATAGATTCGTTTGGTCAGCAATGTATTGAAAAATAGAGTCATTAATTAGTGAAAAATAAAACATTTCCAGAGGTCCTTCACGCAAAAGCTCAGCAAGATGGAGTTCAGTACCAGTTTGTTTGGTAAAGGGTAATAAAACTGGTTGTCTACCTGTTGGAATACTCCATATCATATTATCCGAGGCGGCGCCGGCGTTACCAGCTAAATTGTCATCTGTGTCTGTGTTTGGCATAGGCGCAGAGGCAGCACTACTTCCTGGTAATGGAGAATTTGTACCAGAAGTAACGGATAACTCATCGTCATTGGTGTCTGCGGTTTGCGCAAGCATAGGGGAGGCAGTAGAGTTGGTATCGGAACTATCAGATGATTCATCATCAATAGGTTCGTAGT